AAAATGGCAGGGCCGTTCTGTACAAAAAAGCAACATTTTCTGCGGGGGGAAGACATGAGAGGAGGAGGCCTTGATGTCGACCTTGTGCAGATGCCCAGTGAAAAGGGAGTGAGCCAAGCGTGGCTCTTCTTTCTCAGCGGGTGTGTGGCTGCAGAAAGGGCCGCGCTGCTCTCCCCCCGACTTTGGGGAGGTTGCCTGGACTGGACACCTCCCCGCCAACGTCTGAATGCCTTCCCAGGGGGATGAAGGGTGCTGTGGGCTCCTTGGGGCGGAGAGGCCTGCCGGCGTCAAAGGATGATCCACTGCCTAGGTATTCGCAGCAGCAAATGACACACCAGGCGAGAGCTTGTTCCTTCGCACGCCTTGCACGGAAGGCGCCTGGAAAGCGCAGCGAACTTCCTTGAGAAAAGCCGAAACGAACAAAAAGGGCAAAGCTCCCGCCTTGCCGCCTGCGCGTCGCCGTCGCCCCCCCCCCCCACGCCCCAGGCAAGAGGGGCTGGGCAGGCTGGGTGGATGGTGCTTCCCAGCCCCACCCCTTGGGGGCGCCAGACTAAAGCTGCCAGCTGAATGGGTCCATCTAGTCCCGCACCCCACTTCCCAAAGGGAAGCCCCCATGCAGGGCAGAAAAGGAACGCAGCAGCACCCCATTACTATAGGGCTGGAAAGGGGAGGGAGGGAGAGAGGAGTATTTCTCACTTTTCTAAAAGGTCAAGGGAGATTTCCTCCACCCCCAAAATGGCAAAGAGGGTCATTCGGACCGAGGACAAGCAGAGCCATGAGTGCGCACAGGTTGGCAGTGATCCCAGGCAGTGCTAGAGGAGGAATTCAAGTTGAAACCAAACCAGCAGGTTAAGTGGTTAGAGCCTCGCCTGCTTCCCCAAGGGCAGATGGCAAGACTGGCAGCAAAGCCAACAGGGGATTGGGAGTCCCTGTCCCAGGAGAGGCCGGCTGCGTAGCACAGGAGCAGCTGCCAGGCTGAGCTTAAGCCTCTGCTGGCACAAAGCAAATGTGTCTGTGTGAACAGGCGGTGTGTGTGTGTGTGTGTGTGTTGATTTCTGAGCCAGCCCCCCTGTCGCTTTGCCAGGCTCTGAGCTTTCTGTAAACATCGCCTTGCAGTGCTGGCACACTTGTGGGCGCCAATAGTCATCCATGCTGCAGAGCCTCTCGCCCTGCCCAGGAGCCCTGAAACCCAGCGCCAGCCTGGCTCCCATAGGCATCCCTAAGCTGGGGAAGGTTGCAGGGGCCACGAGGCAGAGCTTGGCTTCCGTGGGGCGGGAGGACAATGGAACATTCAGGCACCTTTGGATCTCAGTGTAAGAGGCCCGCTGGAAGTCTGGCAAGGTCAAAGCCAGAGGCCACGGAGCTCTCATGCCACCTGCTGCAGGTGGGAGAGTTGGTGGGTGGGCTGAGGGGGTGGGACCAAGCCAGGAGGAGGGATGGGGCCTGATCTGGCTCAGCCACCCCAGACCAGTCAAAGGGTGTTAATGCAGTGGGAGGGAGGCACACGCGCTCTTGCCCAAAAGTCGTCCAACCTGTACAGGCAGACTGAGAACCCCAGAAGAGCCAGATGCAAGCTCCCAGCGGAGGCTGCCTGGGCCACCAAGGAGGAAGAACTGGCTGCCCAGCCCTCTCCAGGGAGCCTTGCGGAGGTGGCCTGTGGGGACCCAAGAAACAGAGGAGGAGGTTTCTCAAGGTCCAGGGACTCCCTTGGCCGGGAAAAACAGACAATGCGCCAAAGATCCCACAGACGAGAGCAGGCGAGGGGCAGGTTTGGGCAGCGCCGGCAGCCAAGGTGTGCAGGCAAATAGCTTCACTTTGATTCTGCCTCACAACCGCTTCCTGTTTGTTTAAGACCAGAGAGCCAAGCCTGCCTCGTCTTGGGAGGGGGCAGAATGAGACAGCGGCCTCCATTAGGGAACAACACCCCCCCCTGAACAGGCCAGCTCTTCCAGGTCCCCAGGCCATCCCAGTGTGGTTTTGGTCTGGGGCCTAAAGGGAAATGGACAGAGTACACATGCACATTCAACTGCCTAGTCCAGTGGTTTTCAACCAGTGTGCTTTGGCACCCTGGGTGCCTTGAAGGGTCAGGGGTGCTGTGGGCAACACTGGCCTCCATCCCTTTTACCTCACACCCCCATGCCCTCTATTGTCTCTATCTCCCCAAGGCTTGCACAGCTGTTTGTTGCAGCAGCCCTGGCTCCAAGCTCCCCAGCTGAATGGTGCCTGTGGGGCTGGCCAGGAGCAGGGGACTCATAAAGGTTGAAAACCTCTGGCCTAAGGCATGTGTGTTACCCAGGAGATTGCAGCCACAGAGATATGAAAAGAAGATCCGTTCCATTGTCTGGTGAGATCACTTCCTGGTTCACATGGAGCAGCAGTTTTCAGCAGAGCCCAGAGACAGAAGTGCCTAGCTGTATTGAGGCAGCACCAGGTGTTGAAATTTTGCACCCTAACAAATAATTTTGTGCCCAGGGCAGCTGTCCCTGCAACCCCACTCACGCTGCGCCACAACCAAGAACCACATTGCCTGAGGGATTATGGTGGGACTTTGATAGAACTGAGAAACAACCGGTTTACCCATCACCCTTTAGCAAAACCCAGCTGTGCTTTGCCATTTAAGAAACCACCTTGACTCCACTGGTGTTAATTGGCTAACAGGAGAAGAGCTATCAGAAGTGCCTTTTTCTGCACACTTCATTCAATAATTCAGGCTGCAGGATGTTCCCTGAGTGCCTGGTGCCAGGGCAAGGAGGCTCTGAGCATACTCAGAGTGCTTTATCAAAAGAAGAGACTAGATATACTCTGAGCAGATGTTTGTTAGATACAATCTGGAGTGTCCCCCCAGCACACAGGAGGAGAAATGCAGCCATGAAATTGTCTGCATGATACAAAGGAAGGAAATCTCTGGGCATACACTGAGTGCAATGACACCAACTGCACCTTTGCTACTAAGACTTTTAGAATATTAATAAATTCACAGGAATTTTTTGAAAATAATATGAGCCTTGAATGGAGAGGGAGTCAAGTGTGTGCCAGCAGCAGGGGACACTCTCCACGTGTGGAAGCTTAATGATTTAACTATGGCACCTGCTGTCTGCCCAGCGTGCAGCTACAGGCACCCGCAGAGTGAAGTCTGCAACAGGACTTCTTGAAAACGGAAAACCACAGCACTTCAAAGACTGCAATGTGCACACAGCCTGAGAGAGGACTTAGCTCTGCAGAAGCCAGGCTGACTGCGCCTCAGCGGGACTTGTTCTTCCGCATACCTGTCCATTCTACCTTTCATGAAGCTTCACACAGGTTTGCCTGGAACAGACATGAAGCAAACTGGGCTGCAACTGCACAGATCCCTATTCCAAAAATGGGTTTTCTTTTAGCCACTTTCCAGTTCTAAGGCTGATCTTAGGGACAAACTGTGTTTTTATCGGCTCATCAGCAGATGAGAGATGCCCCCCACCCCCAGAACTAGGAGTTGTGAGGGGAGAGAGACTCTGGTAGCCGGGGGCGGGGGGGTCACCTGTGGCCACCCAACCTCCAGCCCAAGGAACCTTCAGAAGGGAGTTGCTGCCATGGGCCTTGAGTGGACGGGCCTTTTCATGAGCTGAGCAAAGTGGAATAATAGGAGTCACAGGGTGGGGAGAGTGTGCGCATGAACTTGGCTTGCTTTTATCTTTTGACTGCTATTCTGTTAGTGTTGTTGATATTTATTTTATGTTGGCATCCCTGTCTTGAGAGACCACGGAGTGTGCCTCTGGGGACGAGGACAAACCGCTGTGTTAAGAAGAAGAAGAGTTTGGATTTGATATCCCGCCTTTCACTCCCCTTCAGGAGTCTCAAAGCGGCTGACATTCTCCTTTCCCTTCCTCCCCCACAACAAACACTCTGTGAGGTGAGTGGGGCTGAGAGGCTTCAGAGAAGTGTGACTGGCCCAAGGTCACCCAGCAGCTGCAGGTGGAGGAGCGGGGAAGCGAACCCGGTACACCAGATTACAAGTCCACCGCTCTTAACCACTACACCACACTGGCTCTCACTACACCACACTGTTAGCAGCACCCAAGTGAGCTCCCTGGGGTGCAAGCCTGGTCAGAGCGTAGGGAGGTGGTGGGGTGCTCAGACCACAAGGTGGGCCTCTCTGGTGGGGCCCAAAGGAAAGCAGAGCGAGACGTTTGGCACCAGCTGGGCTGCAGGAGTTGCTGGAAGGAGGAGCAAGAGGTGAGATCTGCTCCGCATTTGCGCAGGGTCTACTCCTGAGTCTTTTCTTCTCCCAAAGAAATCCCACAAGGCAAGGAAGGTTTGGGATCAGAGTTTTCCTTCTCGTAGAGGAGGTGGACGAGCCCCATCTGTCCCTAATTTGTTAATCATATACTATTATTTTTGCTTTAATTGTGATGCTTTCTTCAGGCGTTGCTGTTATAACAGCATTTTATAGATTGCAATGGTTTCCCTGATGATTTGTTAATTATCCTATATGATTTATGCTGTGTTTGTGATGCTCTATCCTTGCTATTTGTTGTTTGTAAGTCGCTTTGGGGCTCATTTGAATGAAAAGTGACAGAGAAATAGATTCAATCGATCAATCAATTTCACATCTGGAAAGATTCTGACTAAACATTAGGAAGAACTTCCTGAGGGTCAGTGCTGCTCAGCGGTGGAACGGGTGACCTTGGAGGAAGGTGGCAGAATCTACTTCATGGGAGGTATTTCAACAGAGGCTGGATGGTCATTCCTGAATTGCAGGGGTGGACTGGATGGCCCTTGGGGGTCCCATGCAACTCTACAATTCTGTGGTCTGTGTTCTCCACAGACTCTCAGCTGGGCCCTATCTGGACCAGTCCATTTTTCCGCTTTCAAAAGGCGGGGAGCTTTCCCTGCCAGCGTCCTCTGCTGGCACCCCCTGTTTTCAATCCCAAGGAGCCCCTGGCCACCCCCCACCGCCCCAAAGGCAAGCAGAGCCTCTTTTGGCAGGCAGGCAGAGCCCAGCACCTGAGCGAGAGGAGTCATGAGAAACCCTGGTCTTTATTGTCCTCACTGAGCACATCCACAACCATGACAGGCGAATATTCAGCCTGGCTAGAGAGCAGCCGGCAAGCAGGCATGCTCCAGGGGAAGAGGGAGGGAGGGAGGGAGGGAAGGGGGGGACACTCCAGGCAAGGACACCCCCCCCCCAGGGCTGGCAGGAGACGGGCTTAGCACCACAGGGAGGTGGCCCTCCTCACCCCAAGAACCTGCTGTGGGGCCATCCAGGGCTCCGCAGGTGGGCAGAGCAGATGCCAAACATCCCACCTGGGGCAGGGCTGCCCCCCTCCCCAGGGACTGAGGTGGGTGCTGAAGAACCGGGTGAGGAGCAGGGAGGGCAAAGGATGAGGCTGTCTGGAGGGGCGGGGGTTGCAGGGGACAGGCTAAGGGGTGAGGAAGGACTGGGGGAGGCCCCCTCCCACAAAGGCATTTGCATATAATTGGGGGGGGATCTGGGTGCCTGCTCTGGAGGGTGGATGGGGGTAAAGCAGCCGGGCACTGAAGGGGGGTGGGCATGGGGTGAGGTGGGCTCTGCCACCTGCTCAGCCTCCAGCCTGGCCAAGCGGGTTGATGCTGGCCACCAGTTTGCGCCCTCTGGGGGTGGGGGCGGCAGAGCTCCTTGGTGGAGGCCTCTGAGCCCGTCTCCCATGGGGGGGGCCCTGCCCCGACTGGCTCCAGGCGCCACAGTGGTCAGGACGGACGGTCCGTCTTTTCGGCAGAGGCTGCGTCCTTCAGGGCGGGGGGCCTCCGGGGGGCTCTGGGGAGGAGAGGCAAAGAGGAAACCTCTGTCAGGGACACTGCAGTGGTGACTCCTGCACCGCAAGGGCTTAGACTAGATGGCCTTTGGAGACCCCTTCCCAGAAATCCCCCAGGGCAGCTCCACCCAGCCGCCCAGAGCCAAGGCCCTTGTGCACCCAGCCCTTTGAGACTGGGGGGGCGGCAGGGCGTCCAGGTGTGGGGCAAAATTCAGTTTGTGGAGAGGGAGCAGCTGGGTGAGGAGCAAGCAGGTGGGTCAACCTGCCCCATGGGGAGTGGGCCTCCTCTGAGCTACCCCAGGTGATGAGGGCGACTGGGTTGCTCAACAGCTTCCTCTAGTCTAGAGAGAAGACCCTGCCCCCCCTCGCCCTCCTTCCTCACCTGGAGGGGGCTCAGCCTCAGGCTCTGCCCCGGCTCCTCCTCCATCCTCAGAAGCTCCTCCCCCATCCTCAGAGGCTCCTCCTCCTCCGGCAAAGGTCAGCTCCGCCCCGTCCGTCACCAGAGAGCTGCGGGAGTGGAGGCACCGATCCCCGGAGCGTGTCCTGCGCAGGACAGACTGCAAGGGGGGAGACAGTGAGGGCAGGCGCTGGGGCAGTCCCTCTGCCCTCTGGGGGTGGCAGGCCCAGACAGGGGAGCCTTTCCGGGGGGGACGGTGGCGCCACTCTCTGACTCCCCAGAGCAAAGTGCCTCCAGCCTGACAAGGGAGGGAGGAAGGATGCCCCCTGTCAGGTGTTTGTGGGGACAGGCTAGAGGATTTGGTGCAATATCCCCCCCTCCTCCATCCCACCCCCTGATCCCTCCCCCCTTACCTTCCTGGTGAGGGGGCTGCTGGGGGCTGAAGCACTGCTGTAGAGGCTGAGACTGGAATTGGAGCGGCTGGGGGGAGACAGCGCCTTGGAGGCGGGGGTTGCGGACTGAGAGCCGCCCCCTTTGCCCCCCGCAGGGTCCGGCGTCAGGTATTTCTCGTTGATCTTGAGGTTCGTCCTTCCCTTCACTGGGAGAGGAGAAGAGGTGAGCGCGGGGAGGAGGCCGCTTCCAGGCCAGCAGGATGAGGAGCACAGCATCCAGGGCCTGGTGCTTCCACATGACACGGCAGTGAGAGGGGCTCCTCCACCCTCAGGGCCCAGGACCCTCAAGAAGGGGGGGGGGTGCCCACATCGTCCCTGAAAGCTGTTGGGTTCACAGCCAAATCACAAATGCATGTTTTGGCAGACAAGCCCAGGTGAGCACACAGAGGGTTGTTAGACTTCCTAGAGAGGACCCTCTGTGTGGCCACTTCTTGCCTCCTCTGGGCCGAAATTCTGTAACAAAGGAGATAATCTTTTATACTTCCTGCTGCCTTTGAGGAGACTCTCTCTCCATCGTGTTTCCAGACTGACCAGATGTGTGTCTGGGGGCTCTGGACACCCACAGCCTAAATCGAAGGCAACTTTTGTATTTTGTACCTCAGACGTTTTCTTTCCTGTATTGTATATGCTGCCTGCATTGAAATGTAAGTAAACCTTTCTTTGTTTATCTTACTAAAAACATGTGGTTCATTCTCTGCAACGGAGGTGAAGAGCGGGAGGCCAGGAGACCACAAATAAAAGGGATAAAAAGGTGCAACTGCCTCATTCCTTAGTAAGCTCCAGAAGCGTTTTGTGTTGCTAAAAAGGCTTGGCAGCCCCCTACTTTTTGTATGTCGTCCACACAAATGGATTTACATTTTAATCGACACAATCCGTTTCCCACATGCCTCCTCTGCCTCCTGCTGACCCACAGAGGGAGAAGCAGAGCCCCCTATTGCCCCCCCCAACTGAGCCTGCCGAGAAGGCCCAGGAGGTGCCCATGGAAGAAAGGCCCCCCTCCCACTGCCACCCCAGCCCCTCACCTCTGCAAGGGTCATTCTTCACCAGGAACTCATCCAGGGCGATCCAGCCTCCGCCCACACGCACCATCAGGGTGCTCCGCAGGATGCGGACCATGCGCAGCTGCTGTGACTCCCCAAACTGCAATGGGGGGGGAGCAGTGAGCTAGAGGTGCCAGAGAAAGCCCCCGCTCCATGAAGGAGGGGTTTCCTTGGGGGGTTTCCTTCTGACAAGCGGTCCAGCTTTCAGCCCCAACCATCTGAGTCCCTCTGCCTGGCTGCTCCCAGGCCTGGCGGGACTTTGCTGGAGGGCTACCTGGTGGGCGCCAACTCCTCTGGGTGCTGGATTGAGAATCCTAGAGCCCTAGAACCCCAGGGACCTTCTAGCCTAGCCCCCCCCCCCCGCAATGCAGGAGTGCACAGTGGCCCCTCCTCTCCAGGAGCCCAGCAGGCCCCTGTCCGGGGGGGGGCAAGGGGGCTCCTGGCCAAGCACTTACTCTGTACCGGTTGGCACTGATCTGTTCCACCTGGAAACGCTTCTCACAGTTGCACTGAGCCACCTGCCTGTTCACCTGGAAAACAAATGGAAGCGGTGGGGGGGAGGGGGCTTCTCAGAGAAGGAGGAGGTGAGGGTCAGGGGCTGGCTGGGGGGACAGGCCTAAGGGCAGGCCGAGTGGGGGGGGGTTTTGCCTCTGCCTCCCTGGAGCCAGTGTGGTGTAGTGGTTGAGAGCGGTAGACTCATAATCTGGGGAACTGGGTTCGCGTCTCCGCTCCTCCACCTGCAGCTGCTGGGTGACCTTGGACCAGTCACACTTCTCTGAAGTCTCTCAGCCCCACTCACCCCACAGAGTGTTTGTTGTGGGGGGGGGAGGGAAAGGAGAATGTGAGCTGCTTTGAGACTCCTTAGGGGAGTGATAAAGCGGGATATCAAACCCAAACTCTTCTTCTTCTTCTTCCCTGGCCGGGGGACACCCAACCCCCTGCCCTCTGGTAAGACTCCTCTTTGCAACGTCCTCTGACAGTTGCATCTTAATGCTTTTTTGCAACCGAGTGGCAGATGCTGCTTCTGAGGCCAGTATCTCTCTGGGCCGTACCTCGTCCTGGATCTGGTCCGCATCAGCCGCCCTGCGCAGGATGTCCCGACTGGGGTGCAGAGCACTCACAAACTCATAGTAGTCAATGAAGCCATCCCTGTTCAGGTCAAATATGCTGGCCACAGCGCTCATCTCCAGCGGGTTGGTGGGGAATTCTGGGGAGGGAAAGAGAGGGCGGGGCTGGGGGCTGGCTGGGCACTTGGGCCCCACCTGCCACACGACCAGCCCCACAAGCCAGGGAACCACCACCAAGAAGGCATTGCGAGCCTGGAATGTGGAGGGCAGCCCACGGGGCACATCTGGGTGGGTGCTCCACCGGGGGCTAAGGTAGAAGGTGGGTCAGAAAGAGCTGCTGCTGCCAGAGAGGAGGGGTCTCCTCTCCACATCCCCCTACTAGTCCTGCCATGTCCCCAAGTGTGCTGAGTTGGGGGTCTGGCAAAGTGAATGGTCCCAAAGCAGCTGGGGGTCAGGAACCAGAGTCAGGTGAAGGTCAACAATAAAAGGGACCAGTGCAGTTAATTCTTTATTCAAAGGAACCAAAACAGCTCGGGCCCAGTGATCCCAGCAACTTTCCCCAGTAGGTCTTGGCCCAATAAGGCAGTTGCAAGGACTGAAGACCCCCGCAGCTGCCGAAGTCCCCTCCTCTCCAGGGTTTGTTTCAAGCAAGCGGAGACTGTGGCAGCTGTTCTCCTCTTCTGCCCTTTCCGTTTCTCTGCATGTTCTAGGAGACCAGCGGAGAGGGGAGCTGGTCGCAGCAGGAGGGAGAGACCCCCTGGACTCTTCAACAGCCGGTCTCCCCTCCTCTCCTGCATCTGCTTCTGGACTGCTCTCTGCCACAGCCTCTTCCTGCTCACTAAGCCCTGTTGCCTCTTCAGCCTCCAACGCCTCCTGCTCCCAGTCTGCTCCCTCTGACCAGGCATCCTTGTCCCACCACCAATTCATGGGCTCTGAACCTTCTTCCCCTGGGGGTTCCCTGGCTGGTGCCTCGCCCCGCTCTCTGCATCCAGCTGGTCCATGACACTGTGGAGGTGTTGCCCACGCCCACCCCTCCACTCCTGCCCCTTCCTGGGCACCTGGCCCTTCTGCACTCACTGGAGGAGAGGACGCTCTCAATGAACTCCTGCTGGGTGATGCGCCCATCCTGGTCCCGGTCAATGCCCCGGAAGACGTCCAGGATGCGAGATTTCATCTGGCTGATCCACTGCATGTACCGCTTTCGCCAGACCGAGAAGTCAAAGTGGGCAAACTCCTCCAGCTGAGAGAGAGAAAGATGGGGCTGCTGGGATTGGGCCAGGCTCCCCCCGCTCCCCATCCATGTCCCCACCCATGGGAAGGAGGGGGGCCAGCAGCAGAGGATGGGCCTGGCTGCAGCTGGATCCTGTCCAAAGGGGCCCATCTCACCCAGCTCCTGCTTCTTCCCACAGCAGCCAACCAGCTTCTCCCCCACACCATGAGGGGCCCATAAGCAGCTGCCCAACCCAGGTGGGGTCAGAAGGACGGAAGGGGGAGGCCTCTGCCCCTGCAAGGGGGTTCCGGCTGGGGCTTAAGGTTCAAGGTGCCAGAGGGACCCACATCAAGGGGTTCATTGGAGGGCATCCCCCAAACATCTGCCCTACTCAAGCCCCACCCTCGACTGCCTCTTCCTCTCCCAGCCACGCAGAGCCAGGACGTGGGCTCCCCGCTGCCCTTCGTTCCAGTGCCCCCGGCTCCTCACCTCTCGCTGGCGCTGCTGGGCGTTCTGGAGCCGGTACTGGCGGTCGAGGGCCAAGAGCCAGAGCTGCTGCCAGCGCTGCACCAGCTGGGCCAGGAGGGGGCTCTGGGGCGCCAGGTCCTCGAGGGGCACAGGCCGAGCCCGGGGGGAGAGCTTCCTGGCACTGCGCCGCCCTGCAAGAGAGGAGTGTGCCAGGCTGTGGAGCAGTGGGCAGTTGAGGTGCCCCCACTCAGCCCTAGGCCCAGCCTCTTCCTCCCTCTCTTCCATCCAGTGGAGCTGAGTGTTGCAAGACTCAGCGAAGATAAAAGGAAGGACTTCTTCACACTGATCAGCGTTAATCTGTGGAACTCCCTGCCGGAAGCAGCAACGGCCACTACCTTGGATGCCTTGGAAAGAGCATTGGGCAAATTTGTGGAGGAGGCAGCATGCAGGCCTCTTTCCAGGGACACACATTGGCTTTGAGGGAGGGGCACTTACGGGAAGGCAGCTTGCGGGAGCCAGGAGCCATCCCCCCCGCCTCAGGGGCTGTCTTGCGCTTGCAGCTCTTGGTGACCCTCTCCACATCTGGCTGCTTGTGGGTCAGCTCCTCCATGAACACCTGGGGGGGGGAGAACGAGAGAGGGGAGGGAAAGGGCAGCTGCTCCTCCCTGCAAGGTGGGGCCACAGGGAGGCTGGTTCCACATCCAGGCGCCTCAGTTCTTTGTGTCTCACTCCTGCAGGAGTGGGGGTGGAGTTAGCCCCCTCCCCCCACGATGGTGGGGAAATCTACAGTCCAAATGACAATTACATTTGCCATATGAGCCTCACAGAGTTCCTGTATTCCTAGAGAAGACAGGTCTGTGTGACGTCACACACCCTACACCCTGTGGCAGGAAATGGGACAAAGGATTTCCGTCTTTTCCGCTTCCTCTTTGCCTCAGTCTCCCTCTTCCTTCAAGCCAGCGATGTGAGCAGCCGCACACGCCTGGGCTCATTTCGGAAACGGATTTTGCATTTTGTAACTAAGACGTATTTTACCTGCTACCTACTTTAAAGTATTTGCTGCCTGCATTGAAATGTAAGTAAACCTTTTTGTTTGTACTAAAATGTGTGGGTCATTCTTCGCAACGGAGACAGAGGGGAAAGGTAGGCAGACCACAAATCTATTGGGATAAAAGGTATAATCAACTAATTCCTAGCTTCCAGGAAGTGGCAAAAGAGTTTTTACTCGGCCAAAAAAGGGCTTCACAGCCTGTTTACTCTCATTCTTCTCACCCACACATGGGACAGGAGGCTTAAATTTTAATTTGCTGGGTTCATCCTCATTCCATCTCCCTCAGGGATCCCCGCCAGTGATGCCCACAGGCACCCAAGACCACAAAGTCAGGATGGGCCAGTTACCCCGTGCTGGGCGCTGAGCTCCTCCAGCTGCTCCGCATCCTCTGGGAGGGGCTCCTCGTCCCGGAGGCTCAGGGCCTCCTCCGCGGCCGTGATCCAGTCCATGAGCCGCGCCACTTCCTCCCGCTCCGTGGCCAGAGAGGCCGCCTGCACCTGCAGCCGCTCCTCCTGCTGCTGGGCCCAGCTCAGCACCTGCGGGACACAGAGGGGCTGGCGCCAGGGGGTCCCGGGGCAGGCCGGAGGGGGACTGGCGCTCAGTCTGGGCCTGCCTCCCTTAGCCTCCCCTCTCCTCCCCTGCTGGTCCCACAAGAGTGGGAGGTGGCACAGCTCAAGCCAGGCCCCCTTTTAGGGAGGTTTGGAAGAGACACCCCCTGCCCCCCAGCAGCTGGGACTGGCTGCATGTCTGTAGCCCCAAGGCTGCGTCTTTCTGCCCCGATTCAAGGCTGCGGCTGGAGGCTGCCCTCCCTCCTCTACCCTTATGTCATTCATTCGTTGCTTTTGACTGGCACCTTTTTCTCCCAGGTGAAATACCTGGTTCTCCCTCCCCCCCTCCAACATTTAATCCCCACAACAACCCTGTGAAGTAGGTAAGGGTGAGAGAGTCACACCCAGTGACAGCTTAATGACCGAGTGGGAGAATTTGAGGCCTGGTCTCTCCCAGGTCCTAGTCTGACACTCCAACCACTCCATCACATTGGCTCGCACACCCCCTCTGCCCTCGCCCTGCGGGCACCACCCTCACCTCCTCGAAGCGACTCCTGGCGACGGTGACCCACGACCGGATGGTGATGACGGAGTCCGGGTGGGAGGTGCTGAGGATCTCCTCCCCCAGGGAGCTGATGCACTCCAGCTGCAGCTGCTGGCACTGGAGGCTCTGCCTCAGATCCTGCAAGCAGAGGGGAGGGGCGCTCAGCGCCATCCAGCCAGCGGGTGGGTGCCACCTGGCACAGGCTCCTCCTCTGGGCATGGCGGGATGGGGCCTGTTTCTGTGGGAGGCTCTGCAGCCAAATCACAGATTGAATGATGGCTGGAGAGTCACAAACAGGGGAGTCTGTGATGTCAAATCCTCTAAACCTTTGTGGTGGGAAGGAGAACAATGGAAACTTAATCTTTGCTTCTTCTTGTCACTACACATTCTTTTTTCTACCTGCAATGGGGGAAGACGTTTCTTTGCTCTCTCCATTTTGAAGCAGACTATGTTTTTTTTTTGTAGCATTTAAGGATTATTGCCTGCCTGATTTTCATCACTGTACCCGTAGAATCCTGGCAAGACTTTGATGTAAGTAAATCCGTAGAATCCTGGCAAGACTTTGATGTGAGTAAATGTATTTTCTTATTTATTAAACAGTCTGAGGGTGATTTCTTCATTAAGAGGGAAACATAAAACGGGGAGAAAATAATCCAAATCTGCCTAAAGCATCCTTGGGTAACATAATTGTTCTAGAAGGTTATGCAGCCTTGTCCCAACAGCTTCTAGAGATAAACTGTGCACAGATAGTGCTGAAACAGAGGTTGGCTTTCTCAAGAGGAAGGATTGTTACTAATAAATATTCCCTCCTATTCATCTAATTCCATCCAAGGAAAAGGGGTGGGGAAGGGGCTGTCTCCCCCCCCCAAGGGCTGCCCACCTGCAGCTGGCTCTGGCACTCCTGCACAGCGGCCTCCTCTGACGGGAGGGCACCAAACTTGATGGACTTCTCCAGCTCCATCAGGCGCCCCAGGAAGGAGTTCACCAGGGCATGGAACTCCTCGGCCTGGAAGGAACAAGAGGTTGGCATCACAGCAGGGAGACCCATCTGGGCAGGGCTGGTGCCCCCCCCAAGGAAAAGCTCCTCCAGCCCCACCCAGCCACCACACCTGCATAGAGGAGTGGGTGTCCCAGCAAAGGCAGGGGTGCATGGGGGCAGGTAGAGAAGCAACGGGGGAGCCATTGGGAGCAGCCAGAATGGTGACTGGCAGAGAAGGGTCCAGGTCGCTTTCCTCCCCACCCCCTTCCCCAAAAGATCCTGGGGTGGCTTCCCAGGCCTGACCAGGGGGAGGACTCTGATGCTGCGGCTTCTCCAGTACCCCTCCCTCAGTGGCCCCTTCCAAGTGCTTTCCATCCTGAAGGTCCTGAGCACCAATTCTCCCACAAAACCAATGTCCAGTTCATTCTCAGCTGTAGCTTTGTTTTTCTCAAATTTCTGTGTTTCTGCTTTGTTTTGTCAACGAAAAAACCTTCTCTGCCATGCAAGTGCCTACCAGCCTCTGAGCCTCTGAGGATCCTGGCTCTCCCTGAGCCTTTGATCCTGGCTGGTCTGAACCAGAGGCCGGCCGGAGAGCGATGGGGCTGCTTGGGCAAGACGGAGCCCCAGGGAGGCAGAGACCTCGCCTTGCCCAGAATCCTTTGCCAGGTCCCACAACGCCAAGAGCTCCTTCCCTCCCTGCTCTTGAAAGGCGGCTAAGGGAGAGCAGCTCTGAGCCAGCAGCCCAGACCCTCCAGAGTAAGGGGGCTTGGTGGGGCCCAGGTAGCCTGCTCCTGACCTTGGGGAACAAGCCAGCCCACGCCAAGCAGTCTGGGCCTGAGAGGAGAGAGAGCAGCCCAGGACCCCCTTTGCCCACCTGCTGCCCGCCTGCCATGGCTTCACGGCTCAGCAGAGCCCCCCTCGTCCTCCTCCTGCCCCCCTCAGCCCGCCCCACTTGCCTGCCGCAGGGCAGCCTCCAGCCGGTCCTGCTTGGAGACGGAGAGTTGGCAGACGATCTCCCAGCGGTGGCTGAGCTCTTCCACTTGGCTCTGGAGCCACTGGGAGTCTCCGGCGCCACCGCTGCTGCCGCGCATCAGATCCCGCAGGGAGCGCCTCAGCGCCTTGATGCAACTGGCTCTCTGGCCCAGCTCCTTCTGGAAGACCTGCGGAGGGAGGGTGGGGCAGGCACATCCAGCGGCTGCTCCTGGACACTGCAAGCCCACCACCCCACCAAGGGGTCTAGGCACGCCTGTGCCCCAGCCCAAAGTGGAGCGACTCCGCTGCAGACCCCCCCACAGACCTTGTGCTTGTCCATGAGGGCACTGACCAGGTCCCTGTCCCCACCCACGGGGGTCTCCTCGGCCAGCTGGGGCTCAGCCCGGTACAGCCAGTCCATGAGGGTCTGCAGGGCGTCTGTGAAGCGGCCGGAGAAGAGCAGACCTTCCTCCAGCTTGCGCTGCCTGGAAAAGAGAAAGGCAGCCCAAGGTCAAGGGGCCAGCAGATTCTGGCCAGTGGAAGGGGGTGGATGAGGGGGAGCCCCCCCACCTCTTTCCATGCAGAAGGCCTCAGGTTCCATTTCCAATGGAGCAGCTCCATGCAGGGCTTGGAGAGACCCCAGACTCAAGACCTGGAGAGATTTGGCTGCCTGTCAGCGCCAGCGATACTGAGCGAGATGAACCAGTCATCTAACATGGGAGGTTTGATCAGCAGCCAAATCAGAAATGCATGATTGCAGGAGAGTCACAAGAAGGGGACTGTATGATGTCATAGCCTCTAAACAAAAAAAATTCCTTCCAGTAGCACCTTAAAAACCAACTAAGTTAGTTCTTGGTATGAGCTTTCGTGTGCATGCACACTTCTTCAGATACACACTTCTTCAGATCTTTATAGCCTCTAAAGTTTGTGGTGGGAGAGGGAACAGCAGAAAGCGTAATCTTCCTGTCACAGCTCACTCTTCTTCTTACCTGCGATGGGGTAGGATATCAGTAAGCTCTCCACCAGACAAAGCACAAAGTTAAGGATCATTGTCTGCCTGATTTTCATCACTGTAAGCGTTGAACCCTGGCAAGACTTTTGATGTGAGTAAAGCTTGTGTTTTCTCCTTTACTAAACCGTGTGAAAGTGATTTCTTTGTTTAGAGGGAAACATAAAACAAGGAGAAGATAATCCAAGTCTGCCTAAAGCATCCTTGGCCATCATAATTGCTCCTCTGTCTGGTCCAAAGCCCCACCTCCACCCCAAATGCATACCCACCTCTCAGCCGCCCGGCCACAGATGGCCTCCCACTGGCCCCTCAGCTCCCCCAGCATCTCCTCCAGGGTTTGGGTGTCGTCAGGCAGCAGGGCCTTCTCCCGGAGAAGGCGCCCACTCCGCAAGGTGGCCTCGTAGACCGGGCGCTTGGCACGCAGCCCCTTCTGGAACTCCTGCAGGGGGGGCAAGGGAGGGCAAAGGACCCAGTCAGGAGAGCAGGGAGGGACACAGAGCACACCCCTCCTTGAAAAAGACCCCTTGTTGCTCCTTAAAATGCCAATGGGAAGGTAACTCCTTGACCAGGAGAGTAGATATGGCTCCACGAGTCCACTCCTGCGAGGTGGGCCACAACTGCTCCCAAGGACAGCTGGGGCCAAGGTGGGTTTTGACATGAGTCCGGCCAGGGTCCCTTCCCGCTCCTGACCAGGCCTGGGCAATGTATCACTATATCGCCCAGGACAGGTCTGAGGGGCAGACTCAGCGGTATATCTTGGGTGAAAGCGCCACCGCTCTTGATTCCTTTCCAGTGGCCGCTGGTGGCAGAGGGACTCAGGAGTGGCAGCAGTTTCACCAGTGATATACAGTGGTACCTCGGGTTATATATGCTTCAGGTTACAGACTCTGCTAACCCAGAAATAGTGCTTCAGGTTAAGAACTTTGCTTCAGGATAAGAACAGAAATCATGCTCCGGCGGCGCAGCGGCAGCAGGTGGCCCCATTAGCTAAAGTGGTGCTTCAGGTTAAGAACAGTTTCAGGTTAAGAACGGACCTCCAGAACGAATTAAGTACTTAACCTGAGGTACCACTGTACTGTTGAGTGAAGCCGCCATCCCACTCTGCCCTCATCCGGGCAGAGGGAGAAACAGGCTGCACCCGGGAGGCGCCAATATAGCTTGTTCCTCCCTCTGCTTCTTTAAGCAGCTTGGCGGAGGAGCGCATGGCTGCCCTTTTAAGGAGCCTCCAAACTGCCAATGGCTTGCATGAGCTGGCGGCCGGGTGGGGGCTCCATAAAACGGCTCTGCTGAGGGGCGCACGGTTGCTGCTCCTGTCAGCCGAGCAGTTAACAGAGCCCCCAGCCCATCGCTGTATTGTGTGAGCCAGCAGGGGGGCGGGGGCTCCGTAAAAGTCCTCCTGCCCTCAGCTGAGGGAGCCCCAATGCTTCTCCAGCTCACTTGCAAACCAGAGAGGCATCGGAGCTCCCTTAGCTGGCAGGCAAGAAGCTTCATGCTTCCCAGCTGAGCAGCCCTGATCTGCCTGCTACTCGTGTGCAAGCCAAAGAAACATTGGGGCCCCCTTTGCTAGGGGCAGAGCTGCTTCCTCCCTGGCGTGCTGAGGACCCCAACGCCTCACAGTGCTGAGGTGGGAAGCAGTCTTGAACAACGCAATGTATCACCAGGTCACAATATCTGAAAACCTGACATCGCCCAGCCCTCCTCCCGACACAAGCCCAGGACGCCGGGCAAGGTGAACCACCTGCCTGACCCAGCAGCCAATGATTGCACCCTTGGTGTGGGGCAGCCATGGTGCACAACCGCCACCCTGGCCTAGATTTTGTAGCCAAAAGGGGAGAGGCAACGAGCGTCTGGCTGGGCAGCGAAGGGGTGGGGGCAGCCCAAGACCCGGGGAATCAAGCAGAGGTTGGGGGGGGCTACCTGCCAGGGAAACTTTATAAGCAGGGATATGTGTGCGACTCTAAAGTGAGCCAAAAAGTCACAAAAGGGGGCAGAAGGGGGCAGGATGGGGGCAGAACAGGGTGTTTGCAGGCTTTCCCAATCATATTGAAAAATGGGTGATCCAAAGATATGAGATTTCATGCAAGTTCACAATGACCCGGAATGCAACCCCTGCACAGACGGGGAGCTGCCGGTAGTTGTGATTCCTGCATTGCAGGGGGTTGGACTAGATGGCCCTTAGGGGTCCCTCCCAACTCTGTGGTCAGGAGGATCCAGAGAGGCCTCCAAGGGACACACACACACACACACACACACACACACACACACCGCTCACCTTGTGTTCCTCCAGGAGGCTCTTGATCTCTTCCTGGCTCACGGCAGCATTGCTGGTCCCCTCCAGGTCAGGCTCCACCTCATCCAGCCAGTCCAGGAGCAGCTGCCAAGACTCGCTGAACTGCAGGCCAGGGGGGGAGGGGGCTGCAGTCAAGTTCCCCTCATGCACCCCCCCAGGAGCCCACCCTCCCACCCGCCTGCATCTCAGCAGCGCCCAGGCTGGGGCTTTCCCCCATGTGCCCACAGATGCCCCCCCCCCCACATGAGACAGGAGGTTCCCCAAAGGGCGCCATACCTGCTTGGTGCGCTTGCGTGCCTCCTCCAGCTGGCCCCCCCTCTCGCCCACATGCTGCGCCACCTTGGCCAGCCGCTCCTTGGCGGTCAGCACCAGGCTGTGGATGACGCCGCAGTCCTGCTTCCGGCTGAAGCCCTTCATGCGCATGGCAACCGCCTCCAGGCCGGCCAGCTTCTCACTCTGCGCCTGGGTCTCCTTGGCCAGGGCCTGCGGGGGGAGGAGGGGGGAAGTGGGGCAGCTGAGCACCCTGGCCCTGCGCCCAGAGGAGAGGGCACCTCCCACCTGGACTGCCCACCCCGGGGTCTCAGGCCACGGCAGGTGGACAGCTCACCTTCTGCTCCTGGATCTGGCTGGTGACGGTTTCCAGGACGTAGCTGGGAGGGGGCAGCCCCGCCAGGGCCTCCTCCGTCCTCCCCACCCACTGCAGCAGCTCCTGGGCCGTGGAGTGGAACTCGGTGCTGACCGTCAGCCCTTCGCTGAGCTGCTCCTGGGGGGCGAGGACTAGTTGCTCAAGAAAACATTCCGCAAGTTCTGCTCGACTCTATACTTTTACGTGGCTTTTTATGTATTGTGGCTTGCCGTTATTTATCTACCTTAGGAATGGTTTATCATAATTGTTGAGAGCGAATTTCTGTTTAATTATTATTTGCTGCTATTTTTTTATTATTATAATTAGCAATAATCGCGCCTCGGATTAACCTCATTGGCTACGATACTGCCACTGCACAAAGCTTATTTGCTGCTATTTTGAGGGTGAATGTAATTGTGTTCCAACGGATTGCTGAATGTTACTTTATGTTACTTTATTGGATGCACGCTGTTTAGTTTAAAGCCACATTTTTTTTATTATGACTTTCTTTCATTGGATCAGATTGTTACAGGACAAGTGATCTTTGTTGCATATTTTGTTTTTCCCCCTGCTGGTAAACTGCCTCGTGTGTAGCAATGTGTTATTTATTATATTTCTATGCCCCCCCCTTTAACTGAGGATCACAAGGCAGTTTGCAATACTAAAACACAAAAATGCAGACCACAGCAACAAACAAAAACAATACCCCTCCCCCAGTTCAAAAGGCCATAGACTGTTCAATTAGACGCAGCGGTTCTCCACCTGTGGGTCCCCAGATGTTGTTGGACTACAACTCCCATCATCCCTGAGCTCTGGCCTTGCTAGCTAGGGGTGATGGGAGTTGTAGTTCAACAACATCTGGGGACCCACAGGTTGAGAAAGGCTGAATTAGAGAAAGGCCTGGGCGAAGAGGAATGTTTTTGCCTGGCACCTAAAGAGAGGCAATGAAGGTGCCAGGCGAGTCCCCCTGGGAGAGCATCCCACAAGCGGGGGGCCACTGCCGAAAAGGCCCCTTCTCCTGTTGCCACCCTCCAGACCTCAAGCAGAGGAACACACAAAGAAGGGCCTCCAATGATGACTGCAGGGTCAGGATCGGTTCATGTGGGAAGAGGTGGTCCTTGAGGAACTGCGGTCTTCGGCCACTTACAGCTTTAGAGGTCAAAACCAGCAAACTGAATTTGGCCCAATTTGAAAGGCAGCATACAAATTAAAAGAGGATTGCAACAAAATCCAGGAGCCGACCAGCCCTGGGCCTCATCCCAGCGCCACTCACCTTCCGCTCCTGCACCAGGCTGGCAACGCTGGCCCACTTCTGCTCTAGGATGCTCAGGCTGTGCTCCATGCTGGAAGCCCGCTGGGGGTGGCTGGTGGCCAGCAGGCGCTGGAGCTGCTCCCGGACGCTGTGGTACGTCTGCTGCTTGGACTCCATCTCTCGGCACAACTCCTGCCGGAAGGGAAGGGCAGATGTGAGGGGCTGGGCGTGGGGGGCATGGGGGGGTGAGTATCTGCAGTGGCAGGGCAGGAGACCACAAGGAAAAGGGATAAAAAGGTGCAACTGCCTTGTTCCTGTGAAATATATGTGTTTTACTCTGCTAAATAGGCTTTGCAGGCCACTTACTCTTTGCATTTCTCCCACACACCTGTAATAGGAGGTTTAAATTGTAATATACAGATTTAACTCTCAATCCATCTCCTACATAATGTTTGATGTTTGATTGTGTTTTTATATATGGCTGGGGAAACCCAGTCAGATAGGCGGAATTTAAATAAATAGTAGTGGTAGTATTACAGAAGGGACTCACCAGATGTGCTGCCAGCTTGTCCTTGGTGGTCTCTGGGTGATCCCAGCCGGGCTTGGAGAAAAAGAGCTGGAGCTCCACGTGTTCCAGCCACCGGAGCAGCTCTGTGATCTCCAAGGTCAGATCCTGCACCTGCAGGCGGAAGAAGCCCTGAGCAAGCCAAGCTGAGCCCCTCAGATGGTGGTTCTCCCATCACAGAGCCTGAGTCTTCCTTATTGGAGGAAGACTCCAAACATCACTAGGTGGCCCTTTGGAAAGGCAGAGTCCCCACAGGCCAGTGATGGGGAGACTGGGGGGGTTCCCTTTCCCCTGTGTCTCCCTTAGGGGATTTGGGATGACACCCCCCCAAAAAAAAACCAGCAGAGGGTAAAGGTAAAGGAACCCCTGACCATTAGGTCCAGTCGCAGATGACTCTGGGGTTGTGGCGTCTCGCTTTATTGGCTGAGGGAGCCAGTGTACAGCTTCCGGGTCATGTGGCCAGCATGAGTAAGCCGCTTCTGGCGAACCAGAGCAGTGCACGGAAACGCCGTTTACCTTCCCGCCGGAGTGGTACCTATTGATCTACTTGCACTTTGAGGTGCTTTCGAACTGCTAGGTGGGCAGGAGCAGGGACCGAGCGACGGGAGCTCACTCCATCGCAGGGATTCGAACCGCCGACCTTCTGATCGGCAAGTCCTAGGCTCTGTGGTTTAACCCACAGCACCACCCAGAGGGTAGGGAAACACAAACACAGAGATAGACCACCACCACCACATTTCTCTCCCAAAGCCCCATTCCTGGAGGGCGGGTGCAAAGAGAGCTCTAGGCATCCTGCATCCTGCCCCCTGCCCTGTGGAACTACCTGGCTGAGGTTGTTCTCCAGCTCCAGCTGCCGACTCTCCGTCTCGCCCAGGAGGAAGTCCCAGCGCTGGCCCAGCTGCTGGAGGCTGCCCTGGAGCCCCTCCACCGGGTCCCCTGCCCCAGAGAGCACCAGGGCCTCCCCGGCCTCCCTCACAGACTGGACGGTCCGGGTGCGAGAGACAACATCGTTCCGCAGCACCTGCCCGGGTGAAGAAGGCCGGCTCAGTGGGCTTTGCCCGGGAAGGTGCCAGGGACCCCCGCCCCCTCCCTCGCTTCCCTTGGCCCCCTCCTGACCTTGTGCTTTGCCAGCTCAATCTCACAGCTCTGCAGGTCCAGGCTGAGGGCGGTGGGGGCCTCCAGCTGCTCTGTGGTGCGAAGGAGCCACTGCAGGAGCTCCTCCAGCTGGTTCTGGAACTGACCCAGACCCAGGAGGGCGGCTTCCAGGCGGTGCTGAGGAGAAGACGAGAGAGGGGCAGGGCAGCCTCCATCAGGGGCAGAGGCTGGCCTGGTTGGCACAGGTTGCCCCTGGTCAGGAGCAGAGGGGAAAGATCGACAGGTGGTTGAGGAAGGCAGCCAAGCTGCACACCAGAGAGAAAGGAAAGCCCTTCCCCACTGGGCCACTGTTCAATTTCTCAGACCCAGACCTGACCAAGCAAAGGGGCAACTCCACCCACCAGCCACAGGAGGTTTCTCTCCTGAAATGCTCTCTCAGCCCCTGGGCACCCTAGTCCAGCCGTCACACTGGCCACCTGTCGTCCTCACCTGCCGCTTCACAATTTCCTCCTCTAGCCAGTTCCAGCGGTCGCGGAAGCTGCAGAGAGCGCTGGGGGCCCCCTTGATGTTGGCCCCCCTGGGGCTCACAGGGTGCTGCAGGCTTTCTACATCCACCTTGACCTGGTATAGCTCTCGCTTGAAATCCTGGGGGGGGGGGACAGAGCAATTTATTTATTTCTGCTCTCCTCCAGAGATCAATCTCCATTTTAAACTGGACTATGAATATTTGTAACACTTAAGGGTTATTGCATGTCTGATTTCCATAACTGAAATTGATGACCCCTGGCAAGAAGTTGATGTGAGTAGACATTGTATTTTCTTGTTTGCTTAACAGTCTGGTTCCTTTGTTAAGAGGGAAACGTAAAACAGGGAGATGATCATCCAAGTCTGCCTAAAGCATCCTTGGATATCATAATTGTTCTAGAAGGTGAGGCAGCCTTGTCCTAATAGCTTCTAGAGATAAGTTGCACATGGAAGGTGATTAAGAATGCAGCTGAAATAGATATTTGCATTTTCACACAAGAAGAGGAAGGTTAATGAATAAATAATATATCCTCTCCTGCTCATCTACATCCATTCAAGGGAACCGTCCCAGGTGGTCCCTGGGCACCTGCCCAGCACATCTTTTGCAGCAGCATCAGGTGAGAAAGAGATGATCGGTCCAGGTCTCCGCACTGGCCAGGGATGGGTTTTCCTTCTAGTCCTGAATCACTCTCATGGAGTGCAGGGAAGGGTTCCACTGCCTGCCCCACTGTACACCCTGCCCCATAGCTACTGTTGCAAGCATATAAGGAATACCTGTTGCCCATTCAAAATGTGTTCAAGAATCAACAGACGCAGCAGTGGAGAAAAAGAAAGCAAAATTTATTGCTGAGCAATCAAGACCCAGTGGAATATTTTCCAGAGCCTGGGTACCTGAGCTCCTAGGGCTTTGGCTTTATATACCTGATTGCAAACAGCATTAAGCGTTACATATTCATATACTGCAGCAAAATCAAACCAATGAGCAGGGACAAGAGCCCTTCCTATGCCCAGGTAAAGAAGACTTCTGCTTTTCCCATAGATGTGCATAAGAAATCACCGACGGCCTTTGCCCTCATTTTCATCAATAAAGAGGAAAAGAAACCTCTTTGGCAGCTGAAGACCGAACACCCCTTTCTGTTATCAGGCTAGAACATGACATTATGGGGCAGACATTCGCCTTCCCGTTTCCCCATTTTTGGCCTAGCATGAGAAACAGTCTGGGGAATGTTCCCTATAGAAAAAATGCCAACACATCAAACTTATTGTTTCCTGCAAGCACAATAGCAGGGCAGAGAGAAACAGGGCAGAGAGAAACTCTGGACTCCTGAGATTTCAGGCACTTCTAGCCTTAATGAAGCCTTGGTGATTTAAGCATCATTAGGATACATGGTGTCAGAGCTGCCCGAGGTCCCAGCTCACAAAGGACCAACGCCAGTTCGTTGTTATATACAAAAGTCTTTATTGAAGTTCAGTTTCGCTTTCACAGCCGCGGCGCGCAGCTCTACGTCTCAAACTCTAGACCGCTGAAGCTCCGTCTGAATCTCCTCCCCCCAGACACCAGTTTAAGACTCTAGCCTTGCTCCACCTCTTCCTTTGCTCTTTCCTCCTCTGGGTTCCGCCTGTCCGCTGGGGTCTTGCCCTTCCTAGACTCTTCTGACGCTGAGTCCCCTGAGTCTTCCCCCTGTCTCCGGCGGGCTTTAGCACCTGGTTCCCAATCCGGGTTTTCTGCTGTCCCACGCGCCTGTACATTCGAACTTGGCGCGCGCGCCCAGCCGGCAACCTTCCTCCTGACCGTTACACTGCTCCTGTCACTGCTTCCCCCTTCGGGGAGGCTAGCTGGACCTGACCTCCCCTCCGTTCCCCCACTCTCCGATAGAGGCGTGGTCAGCCCTGACTCATCTTCTCTCCCTGCTGGAGGAGACGCTGGCCCTGACACATGGGACTCTTCCCCCCCACTACGCTCTGGTGGGGAAGCTGGTCCTGATCTCCCGCTGCTGCTTTGGGAGTCCCCGCTGGCCCCTTGCTTCTGGTGTGTCCCCCCTGGGACCCCCCTTGCCCTGACCATCGGCGCCCCCTTCTGGGAATCTTCTGATTCGCTGGAGAAGCTCATGGAATCTCTCGGGTCACTGTCATACTCCCCTACGCTGCCCTCAGATTCTTCCCCTTCGCTCTCCATTTCCTCTCTCCCCTGTGCCTCTGCTCCTGAGCCCCTGACACATGGTTATATAGAAAACATAAAGGTAACACTCTTCCAGGTGGCCTTGCCATACTACAACCAAGGAGTCCAGAGCACACAGCCCACTCCTCCACTTCTTCTGAGCATCTCCCTTACCTTGAGCTCTGAAAGCTGCCGCTTGACCAGGTCCAGGTCCCCCCCGACCAGAAACTCCTCTGCAATCTTCAACTCAGCCGCCTCCAGCCAGCTCAGGAGCCTCTAGGGAAGTGCGGAAAGGGGGGGGGTCCCAAAGAGGAATAAGGTCTGGCAGCCACAGCAGAAGCAGCAGTGTGTGCGTGAAAGTGCTCCAGGGCCAAGCAGAAGCCCCTCTGTGGGTGGCTGAGTCTGTGGGTGACTGAGTCACCCCCCAGGACACCTGCCTGGGCCAGGAGGGGTGTGAGCTGCTGCCTGCCAGAGACCGACTCTGGCTCAGTCTGTGGGAACAGCCCAGCCAGGGAGCCTGTTGACCTGACTCTTGGCCAGGGGAGAAGCTTATGGGGTGAGGGCCAAAGCCTTTGCCACAAAGGGGTTATTTCAAAGACCAGCGGGGGGGGGGCAAAGGAAGGGGGTCAGGAATACTCTCCAGCTCACCCTATAAGGACCAACAGCCACAGGTTGCTCCCCATCCACCTCATTAAGGCTGTGGGTGTTTTTGTCCCAGGGGTCCACGGCATGGCCTGTGCCCAAGTAAGAGACCCTCCTCACCTCCATGGTCTGCTGGTAGTTGAGTGAGGCCTGCAGCTGCTCCTCCAGGCGGGTCTGGCGTTCGCCCCACACCTTGCTCAGGCTGTTCCAAGAAGAGTAGAGCTGCAGAGAGAGGAGAGGAGAGAGAGAAATATTGTGGGGGGGGGTTAAGCTGCAGGGTATGGGGAGGCCAGCCCCTGTAGGCTCTTTCACATTCTGAGGGCCAACATCACACAGGGACCCCGTGCCAGGCTGGCACTCTGTGCCCAAATGCATCCCATAAAGTGCACCCACTTGTGCTTGTGTCCTCTGTATTTGCACCCCTGGGGTACGATATGCCCCCCCCATCCCCTGGGATTTGGTACAGAGGCGGCTGTAGATTTTACAGCCAAATGACAAATGCATGTTTTGGTAGACAAGCAAAGGAGAGAGTTCTTAAACTTCCTAGAGAGGACCCTCTGTGTGTGACGGGTTCTTTTACCTCCTCTGGGTGGGAATTCTGAAACAAAGGAGTTAATTCCTTACTCTTCCTTCCACCTCTGAGGAGACTCTCTCTCTCTCTCTCTGCTAAGCAGAGCTCCAGAGCTGGGGGCTCCAGACACCCTACTTTGAGACTATCAACTTTCTTTTACACACAACTCCTCATTTGCATGGGGGCTACGTTCCAAGGCACCACACGCTTACATGTAATTACATATAATCAGAACACCCATCGGAACACCCATCGGAACACCCATTGAAAACACCCCATTCCGCCCCTTTTTGTGACATTTTTTGTGACGTTTGAGGATCACTTTTGGGTTCAGCGCAATGCACATATATATGGTCATGTCCATATTTGTGTAAATGGGGAGTTGCCTGTATTGTAACTTAGAAGTATTTTTCGGCATACTACTTTGCTGTATTTGCTGCCTGCATTGAAATGTAAGTAAAAAAAAAATTCTGTTTAGCTTACTAAAAAGGTGTGGTTCATAACGTGCAATGGGGTTGAAGAGGGGAAGGACTGCAGACCACCAATAAAAGGGGATTCCTAATTCCTAAGTTTTAGTAAGCTGTAAAATATATAATTGTTCTTACTTTGCTAAAAAGGCCCCACAGCCTGCTTACCTTTTGTATTTTTCTCCCACACATGTGGGACAGGAGGTTTAAATTCTAATCTACAGATTTAATCCTCAATCCATCTCCTACAGTGGCCACCACATGTCCAGCTCAGCTTTGCTCTCTCATCCATCCAGGCTGCTCTTAGCAGCTCTTCTAGGGTGCACAGGGTCAGTTCTTGCTGGGGGGAAGCTGCCAGTCAGTGCACGCAACACAGAGGGAAATGGACCAGTGGGCTGGCTCAGGAGGAGGAAGCTTTCTATGTGCCTAGGCCAACACTGGGGCAATGGGGCTGCCCCTTGGCAAATGGCCCACACTGCCCGTACCCTGTGGGGTTTCCCTGCCTTAGATGGGTCCCTCCCCAGCTCACATCATCTAGGCTCTTGGTGACGTCCGGTTTGTCCAGATCTCCACAGGACGACATCAGCTCCATGCCCAGGACGCCCAGGGAGTCCAGCTCGCTCTGCAGGGAGTCGATCTCTTCTCGCAGGGCCTGGAGGGAGAAGGGGTGATGGGGTCAAGGTCCCGTCTCTGAAACCAGCCCCAGGAAGGCCTCCTCGCACACAGAAGCTGCAGCATGGCAAAACCTGAATCACTGCCGGCGGGAGCTGGGAGCCGGACGCAGGGCAAAGCCAATGGGGCAGGTGGGTGGGGGCCATGGGAACGCCTCCCCTGTCAGCAGTTCCCAGGATCCCTCAGGGAGAAGGAGCCTGGTGGGGGCTGATACAGGAGATGGTTGCTGAGCAATGTCCTGGTACCTGCATGGCCCCAAGCCTGGCCTGGATGGCCTTGGGGTCCGAGGCAGCCTCCTCCGGCTCCAGCACCACCTGCTGGATGTCTCCCAGGGTGGCGGCCAGGTCCGAGAAGCCCTGCCAGAAGCGGTCGGCCAGCACCAGCAGGCCCTGCAGCCAGTTCTCCCGCTCCTCGCTCTGCTCCCAAAGCGCCTTCCACTGGCTCAGCAGCTGCTCCACACGCTCCTGGATCCCTGTCCGCAGGAAGGGGGGAAGAGAGGGGTCCTGGGGGCGGGCTCAGCAGGAAACCGGCCTCCCCCACCCCAAACAGGAGAGGGACTCATGCCCTCTAGGCCACCCAGATTTGTGACCCACAGGGATCCTGCGGTGCTCAGGGCAATGGCCTCTAAATGGGGGAGAAGGAAGGAGGAGACCCAGAGGCTCTGGCCAGCCCCACAGCGGGGCCAGCTGCTTGGAAGAGGGGTTTCTGCGCCTGGCGCTGGGGAAGGGGCCCTGCCTACCTCTGTTTCCGCTCGCCTGCATGGTGGCCAGCAGCTCAGCCCCCTGCCCGCGGAGGGTCTCCAGAGCCACTCCCAGCTTCTCCAGCTCCGCCAGCCGGAGGCCGTTCTCCCGGATCTGCTCCCGGAGCCAGGCGGAGTCTCCCCGCACCGCAGGGGGGTCCCTCGTGCGGCTTTGCAGCCTCTCCAAGCTCTCCACCATCAGCTCCATGCGCTCGGACAGCTGCAAGCAGGGGCACAGCAGAGGGTTGGCCCAGCCCCACAGGCAGCCGGCTGGCCTCCCACTGACCCACCCAGAGTGGGTGCTGAGCCCCAAGTCTGGGCCATGCACAGCTGGAAGGGAGCCGGCAGCATCCGAGGCTCTGGGGAAACCGAGGCACATGAGTGGGAGAGCCCTGCAGGAGTTGGAGCCTGGCAGCACCTTGAGCCCCAGAGCACCCGTGGGTCTCCATGGGGGTCAAGAGAAGGCCTGTGGTCCTTATGGCTGAAAATGGGTCCGCCCTAATGGCCCAGCGGGAGCCATAGCATTGGCCTGGCTGTAGCAGCCCCTGCCAGCCTCTCTGGGCCTCATCCAGCCCAGACTAGAGATGCTGGTTGATGGCATCTCCCTGCCATGAAGAGATGCCAGGCCTGGCTCCCCCGTGGGGGGGGGGTCCCTCCAAGCACAAAATGCAGGCAGAGGAAGGCGGTGAAGCCATCCAAGTCATCTCACGGTTTGCTGCCCAAATAACTCACTTGTCCGTTTACACCGGAATGAGATTGTGCCTAGTACATCTCACCCCGTGGATTTGTTATTGAGGATTTGGTCCACAAATGACAACATTTTGGAGGTCCCAGGTTGCAAGGTGGTTAGATTGGTCTCAACTAGGACCAGGGCCTTTTCAGTACTGGCCCCGACTTGGTGGAACGCTCTGTCCCAAGAGACCAGGGCCCTGCGAGACTTGACATCTTTCCGCAGGGCCTGCAAGACAGAGCTGTTCTGCCTGGCCTTTGGTTTGGACTCAGTCTGACCCTTATGTTTCCCTCCCCTTATGGTTTTGACTTTTAAAATGAGGCTGCATTTTAAATTGCATTTTAACCTGTTTTTAAAATTCTTTTTTTTCTTTTTTTTTCTTATTATGTTTTTACTGAAATTTTATTGGTGTTAGCCGCCCTGAGCCCAGCTCGGGCCAGGGAGGGTGGGGTATAAATAATTTTTTTTTCCCTTAGGGGAAAACCCTGTGTATCTGCATTGTTTCAGACATAAGCCAGCCGGGGGGAGGAGAGGTGAGGGTGTCAGACTGGGACAGAGCAGGGTTCGAATCCTCCCACCTGGCCACGAAGCTGACTGGGTGGCCTTGGTTGAGTCTAGTTTGGTTTCAGCTTGTGGGGATAAGATGAAGGGGAGAACCATGTGCCCCACTGTGGACCCCTTGGGATGGAAAGGCAACAAACAAACGGAAAACTATCACAACTCAGCTTCCTGGGTTTGGGTGCTCACTTGGCCGGAGATGGACGTTGCTGCTGTGTGAGGCCAGAGGTGCTGGCCAGTCAGAGACAGCAGGGAAGTGGCTGGCCCAGGTCTGTTCCCAACCCCCACCGCTGCCATGCCTGTGTTAGGACATAGTTCCGTTCCACCCTTAGAACAGGCATGTGGAGTTGTTGTATGTCACAAGTCTGTTTACTTCCAGCACAGTTTGCTGGGAACTTCCGTTGTATATAGCTTTTCCCTGTACTGTTTGCTTGGACACGAAGGGAAGAAGACATGTTTTTTCCTTTGTCCTGCTGCTGAATAAATGCTTGTAAATATGCTTACATATGCCTCTGTCTGCTACTTCTTTTGCAAAGAGTTCTTATCTCTGCTAGCTTGCGTGCTCAGTCTCTAAAGGTCTCTGAGGCTTGAGTCGCAGTTTTGATGCTGCTCCGAAAACCAGAGTTCGCCCGGCTGCCGGTCGGAGCCAGCTGGGGGCCTGCCAATTGCCCCCGTCTCCCAGGACACATCCTAACAGCCTGCTGCCCCAGAGACCGTCCGGCTGCTCACCTGGCTGTATCGAGGGATGGCCTCCTCCAGCACAGCCGCCGCCTGGCGAACCCGTTCCCGGATGCTTCCATACTGCTCCTCGGCCGCCTGCCAGCCCTGCTGGAAGGGGACAGCCTCCTGCGGACTGAGCTCGGCTAGCTGCCCCGACAGCCGTTGCAGCTTGGACATCAGGGGCTTGTGCTCTGCAATGGCCTCTCGGAGACCCTGGCCGGGCCGGGAGAGAGAAGCAGGTGAGGACCCTCGGCCTCCCCTGACACCCTCAGCCCCCCTCCAGTCTCCCTCGAACCCACCCCCCTCACCTGCAGCAGCTCCTGGTGCTCCCGGAAGGCCTCGCAGCTGATGCCGTCGGGGGAGAACTGCCCCACTGCCCGCTGTGTCTCCTCCAGCCATGGGCACAGCTCCTCACGGGCCTCAGCGAACTGCGCCAGCAGAGACTGGGCACGCTCCAGGCGCAGGGTGCAGGCCAGGCTCTGGCGCAGGAGGTGCTCCGAGCGCTCCTGCAGGGGCTGGACCAAGGGCTGTGGGGCACACGAGGCGTCAAGGGGGGTCAGATTGGAGGACAGAGAGGGCACCCCCACCTGGGGCATGGCCAGTCTTTCTCAGATCAGGCTCTGCAGCCCTGTTGACGGAGGGAAGGGGGTGACAGGGACCTGCCAGCCAGAGGGTGCTGCTCTTGTGCCCCCGGGGGGAGAGAAAAAGGCCCCCACCCAAGTGGACTTTGCAGGCCTCTTAGCCAGCCCTCTGTTTTTAAGCCAAAGGGCAAGTATCAAAAATCTTTGGATTTTAGGTGCTCTAAAAAGGTGCTCTGCAGCAGTGGCGTAGCGTGGGTTGTCAGCACCCGGGGCAAGGCAAGTAATTTGCGCCCCCTAACCCGTGGATTTGCGCCCCCTAACCCATGGATTTGCCCTAACCCCAGATGTTGTGCCCGGTGCGGCTGGCCCCCCCCTGCACCCCCCACGCTACGCCACTGCTCTCCAGACAAACTGGAACCGGCTCCCAACTTGCCTCCCTTAATGGAGTTGCATTGGAAGGCAAGCAAAAGGGTTAGAGCCCCTCCACTGACACCCAGTGGCTGAAAGGGGTATTGCATGTCAAGAGAGCCTCCCCCTCCCCACCCCACTGGCCTCACCTGGAGCTGCTGTTGCACTTCTGGGGGGCAGAGGCTGAGCAGTGGGTCAGCAATGGCCACCAGCCGTTCCACGAGGCCGTGGTGGTGCAAGATCTCCGCCGACAGGAGCTGGGAGATGGGGAGAGTCACCATCAGGACTGGGCCTCACGAGGCCCCTTTGCCCCCAGAGTGACCCTGGGGAGAGCAGGGGGGTCCTTGGCGCCTGGCGGAGCTCCTGTGTGCAGGGCAGGCCTCTCCCTCCCCCTGGACACCATCCCCATCAGAGGTGCCTGCCCTGCCTGGCCACTGCTGGTGAGACACCTTCTTCTTCTTTGGTGCTCCTTCATAGCCAAGTAAGATTGTCTTCCAATAACATGATCTTAACAGTGAATCCATAAGAGACTGTGGAGGCCAGTTCTGGATCCACACATCCTTCCACAGTGGGAGTTGATCATGGTGTGGATTTGCCAAGCGTGCCTTCTTCTTAGCATGTTTCTCCCTTGTGTCCTGAGTTCGAGTGTCTTCAAAGTCCATGACACCTTTGGTAAAGGCTGTTCTCCTTTTGGAGCACTCGCAGGTCAGCGTTTCCCAATTGTTGGTGTTTGTACTACTTTTTTTTAGATTTGCCTTGAGACAGTCTTTAAACCTCTTTTGTTGAGACACCAAGCCCTTAGTGGCTGCCGCATGGGGGCGGAGAGCTTGGCTGTTAGACCCCTCCCCACCCACTGACTCTATAGTCAGCTGGGGACCACAGGGAGGAAGGGAAGGAGGGAGAGTCTATGGGGAGGAGGAAGAGGAGTCCAGTCCCTCCAGTGCTCCACTGGCCTGCTCAGCTCCCAAGACCAGAGGCATTGTGGCAACACCATAGGTGCTGGCCTTGTGGAGAGGCACCCAAGGGTGCCCCTGCAGGGTCCCCGCAGGACCTCCCAGCCAACCCTCCCTCCCTCCCTCTCCCCAAACACCCACCTTCAGATCGGCCAGCTGCTGCTGGATGGCCTCTGCTTCCAGGTGCACCTGGCCCAGCTCCTCCAGGTGTGTGCTCAGGTGGGACACCTTGTCCATCTCGGAGCCCAGCACCTGCTCAAACTGAGACAGAAAAGAGGCTCTTCGGGATGAGGGCGCAGACAGACCACTCTGGGCAGGGACAGAGGGCAAGAAGACTCAAGGTGGCTCCCTTCTCTGCCCACAGTGGGGGTTTTCACAGCCTAGAAGTTGCTGGGTGAGACGTGTCCTTCTTCTCTTCCAGGAGTCCTTCTCCTCCTCCAAGGAAGATCTGGCAGCTCAGCAGCAGAGAGTGAGGGGGCAAGTCAGGTGCCCCCTGGGGAAGCTCTCCTGGCCTGCCCCAAATATCTTGCCTTAGGGCAACAAGCCCTCTGTGCCCGTGACCTCCTCGCATGGCATTGCAGGGTCAACTCTGCAGTTCTATGACTCCTTCCCTGAAGTGCCCATTACCTTCTCTCTGTCTGTAGCACTGAGCTGGCGGGTCCCGTCATCATCACCCCCCGGCTGGCCCCCCTGCGGCGCCAGCTCCTTCTCCAAGCGCTCCAGCCAGAGGGCCAGATCCTCCTCGGTGGGGCCCAGCCGGCAGGAGGCCTCCAGGGTCTGCTCCAGGCGGTGCAGGATGGCAGCGCTGCTCTGGCCCACAAGGAGGAACCTCATTCGCAGGGAGTCCATCTTCTCCTGGGCCAGATGGGCTTCCTCTCCTGGGGGAGGACAGCAGCACCGGCTCAATCCCAGGAGCTGCACCCCCCACCCAGCCTCAAGACCCAGGGCCCATTTCCAGGAACCTAATCCTGGAGGAGCCGAGATGCCAGAGGAGCCATTGGGGCTGCTGGAGGAAAAGAGTTCCTGCCCCAAGAAGCTCCGCTGGTCTATTCTGATATCTGGCATTTGGTGCAGCCAGACTGGTGTGACCCACATTGGGAGGAGCACTGTTTGTGGGGGGGCTTTCCTTCTGATGCTGCCAGCCCCCCAGCTGCCCTGCCTGCCCTGCTCCCCCACAGGGTCATCTCTTGAGGGTGGGTGTTTTTGGAGAGCCCCAAAGTCACTGCCGTCCCCCACTTGCCTGCCACCATCTCCAGAAGCTGCTGCCCGTGCTCCAGAGCCCGTTCCAGGTCAGCCGTCTTGGACCGGATTTCTTCACAGAGGTCCTGGAGGGAGACAGAAGCAGGTGGAATTGGTGCAAAGAGACCCCCTCCCTCACATGAAAACTCCCCCCTCCAGCTGAGGCCAAGAGGCGACTGAAGGGGCTCTGCTGGTCCTGTGAGGTCTGGAGAGCCTCAGCTTCCTGGAGCACAAGTCCCTCCTGCCTGCCCCAGGCCCACTGCAGTGGGGCACGTGGAAGGAGAGGGCTCAGGAACAGGGTGGGCATGAAGGGGGTGAGGAAGCCACTCTTCCAGGGGTCAAGGGGTGGGGGCTTCTGTCCTCACCACGCCTTCCTCCACCCACCTCCAGTTTACATCTTGCTGCTGGCCGGATCCTTGCAGAAATGCTTCTGTGTCTGTTTGCAAAAGGGGAGTTTGTGGGTCTCCTTGGGACCTGCTCACAGACGTGCACTCTGGGGGAAAGCCAAACCCCACTGCTCTGACGCAGACTGGCCCCCTTCTTGGATGATATAAATCTCCTCTCCAGACTCCTCATTGTGGCTGGGCTGTATAGACTCACCTTAAATCCTTGGTCACATGCAATGGCTTCTCTGTAATTTGTTTTTTATATTGAATATGCTCTGTGTATGGTTTGTGTAAACAGCCTCGGCCCAGTATACCTGAAGGAGCGTCTCCACCCCCATCGTTCTGCCCGGACACTGAGGTCCAGCGCCGAGGGCCTTCTGGCGGTTCCCTCCCTGCGAGAAGTGAGGTTACAGGGAACCAGGCAGAGGGCCTTCTTGGTGGTGGTGCCCACCCTGTGGAACATCCTCCCTTCAGATGTCAAGGAAATAAACAACTGACTTTTAGAAACAGATAGGTAGCCGTGTTGGTCTGCCATAGTCAAAACAAAAAAAATTCCTTCCAGTAGCACCTTAAAGACCAACTAAGTTAGTTCTTACTTAGTTGGTCTTTAAGGTGCTACTGGAAGGAATTTTTTTTGTTTTGACTTTTAGAAGACATCTGAAGGCAGCCCTGTGTAATGAAGGTTTTCAGGATTGAAGTTTTATCACTATGTTATTATTATTATTCTGTTGGGAGCTGCTGAGAGTGGCTGTGGAAACCCAGCCAGATGGGTGGGGTATAAATTATTATTATTATTATTAATTGTGGGTTTGTCTGTCCATAGCTTTATGGAAAATCAATAAAAAACCAATCAAGAAAAGACCCTTCCCTCTTGAGGCTCCCAAGGCCACTTCCCCCTCCCAGGCCACCATACCTGGACTTGCTGAAGGGCTCCCTGCGCCTGGCTGAGGCTCCCGTTGGCTCTCCACAGCTCAGCCAGCTTCCTCTCCGTGGAGGCCAGCCAGTCCTGGAAAACATCGACAGACTCCTGGAAGGTGTGGGCTGCAGGAAGGATCCGCTCCAGGGAGCTGTGCCTGTTGGAAGAGAGAAGAGGCAGGGTGGGAAGATGTTGACGGGAAGAACTTCCAGCACCAGGCTCTCCGGACCCAGGAAGACACACAGCCCTGCGCAAAGGCTGCCTTTCGGCCACAGCAGGCAGCAAGGAGTCAGGAGGACCAGCGCCATGAAAAGGCAGGTCCAGGGCTCCTGGCAAGCAGGCCTCCCCCTGCCCTTGTGGCCTGGCTGGTCTGACAGATTGAGCTGCCTCTTCCTTGTGCTTCTGGAACACAAAGCGCCCCCCCCCCCAGAGGAGAAGGGAGCCAAATGCCAGGGCAGGATGGAACAGTGGTGTTCCAGGAAGGCTCCACGTGGGGAGGCAGAAGGTGCCAAGGACGTCTGAGACTTGGCTGAGGACAGGAAGGAAGAGCTCAGAGGTGAAGCTGCTTTGGATAAGAAGTTTAACTCCAGTCCACTTCCCAGACAAAGCGGGGGGGGAAGGGGGGGCTCTGAGCACCAGGGGAGAGCCCTCCCTCACATCCACCTCTTTGCACAAGGAAGGGGCGCTAGGCTTTGACTTGCAGCAAACGGTCCCCAGAGCTGCCTCATCCCTTTGCCATGCAATTTCACACCCACCCTCATCCATATGGGGTGCATGTGCCCCACACCAGGCTCACAAGACTCTCACAAGAGAGCAAAACTGAGGGCATGTTTAGCCCTTAGCTGACCTCAGAAACCCCTCCTCTCCCAAAGTAGGACATCCTTCCTGAGCCTCCCCTCTGTGAAACTGGTTTAACAAGTATTGATAAGTTCCCAAGCAGAGGAGCAGATATCTTCGCTGAGTGAAGCAGGTCTGTGTCAACGGATTCTGGAGTCAGTGTTGGAAAACATGAACTCTGAGCAGGATCTGATTTACATCTGCAACCCATTTTGTGATGTATCTGTGGCGTTTTTTAGGGTGGCGGATACTTTCTGAGGTTTTAAAAGATGCTACACACCTTTGCTTCTCAACTCCCTTGCATTTGGGTGGGGGGAGAGACTCTGTTTGCAAATGGACCAATAAAGAAAAGCCAGCCTTGCGGATTTCCAGGAGAGGAAATGGCAGGTTGACCGTCTTTCTGTTGGCTCTCTGCTGCCAGAAGATAGTTACGTGGTGATGGATGGTAATCAGGTTGAAGTTCTGGCTATCAGATCACTCTGGGATAAAGAGGGATTGAGGGAGTAACCGCAAATGCTCTGGTCAAGGCTGTTCTCTGATGTTGGTCTTTGGGGACTGAGATGGGGCTACAATGAGTCAAGGTGAGTCGAGGAACCAACACTGTGTCCAAATCCCATGTAAGAACCCTTCATGGGAAAAAGATCTGCATCCTCTCTTTGTAAAACATTTTTGGGACAAGATAATCTGTTAATTCAGAGAGATTTCACTGTCTGCTGATGAAAGATCATGACTGGAAAAATTGCAAGAGCTGCTTTCTGTCTTTAAGAAGAAGGGAAAGAAAACTGGTCAGTGAAGTGTCTAAAGCAGAGCGAAAAGCATGATTTGTGCTTGGCAATAAAGATTAAACGAACAAGGGAATTCCTCGTGTGAAAAGTCTTTAATTCTTTTTCTTCTTTCCAAAATGAATGTTGCTGGGAAACTGAAAGTTTTCTCTGTGGGAAAATAATATTGTTGTGACTGTGATCTTAAGGCGGAAATCTTAAGGTAGAGACAGGACTTATAAAGAGGCTAAGTAATAGCCTTAATAGGCTTAATAACATCAAACACATCCAGTGTGGCAAATATGCCTTTGGATATCCCAGTGACTGTTGGTATTGTTCAATAGTTGATGGCCGAACAACTAAAAATGATCAGATCAGCTTTTGATGAAAGGGGGAAAGAAATGAATCAGAGAGATATGAAGTGGAAAACGGAGAATACCTATGAAAAGCTGGCAGGACTGGATGATGATGAAACAAAATTGGAGAAAGCAGATGGTGAAATGGAAATGCCTTTGATACAAGGACTTGGGAGGAGAAGGGGAAGATAAAATGATCTGAATTTGGCATTGATGGAGCTCAGAAGGGGAAAAGCCTTCAGTCCTGGCTCTTCTTCAGTTCTAGCAGAGAGAAAGCATTCTGAATACAACTTGGAGCGAATTCAGAGAATGATGTAACTGAATTAATAGTTCTCTCTCTGGAAAAAGGATAGGAAGAAAGGTAAATGGAAAATCCTAGAGGAGGAGAATGCTATGGTAAACACAACAGGAAATGGAAATTGAGTGTACTGAACTGGGTGTGAATTTAAGGATATGTAACAAGAAAAGAATTATGGAATATTATTTCAATATGTGATCCCAGTGGAGAGGCTTTATCATGGGCAAGGATGGAATAATTTACTATTAATATGGAGGTTTGTTGGTGGGAATTATTGGAGGTAAAGTTGATATTTAAAGAAAAAACATAAGTTGATATTTACTACTACTAACAATAATTTGGGAATCCCTCTTGGACTTTTTTGGGGAAAAGGAAATGAATCATTTAAAAAAAAAACTTGGACCTCAAAGAAATATTGTTTAACAGAATGTTGTAATGTTATTTAATTTTATGTAACCAGCAGATGGAAAATCGGAACTCCTTTTTATCTTTCTTTTTTGCTTTCTCTTTTTCCCTTTCCCTTTCCTTCTTCCGGCTTCCTTCTCTTTCTCCCCCCCCCCCAGCTGTTTTTGTTTCTGGTTTTAAAAATTTGCATTAGTTTTCTATATCTTTCTGTATAATGAAAAGCGTTAATAAAAACCTTAATGCAAAAAAGAAAAGCCAGCCTTGATTTCTACTATGTGGCCTTGCCTCTGTTTTTGTTCATTTCTCTGACCGACAAGGTGGTGTTGTGAGTGAGGGGAGAATTGCGCCAATGCCCCCCCCATGTGCCCCTGCTTTGCCCTTTCACACTGCCCTCCCCATCAGACCCGGAACTGCTTTCCTGAACGCCTCTCTCCCTGCCTTCAAATCTCTCCTCCAGACTCACATTTTCTAGGGTGCCTTTGGCACAACCCCTGAGCCCCCACCAAGGCGCCCTCCCCCTCTAGGGACTCACCTGGCTTCTGCCCCCTGGATTAGCGTCTGCCACTTCTCCTGGAGGTTGGCAAGGCCTCCGTCCCTTCCGTGCCCGTCTGTGGTGCCAGGGGGCTCAGAGGGCGCCCGTCTCTCCTGCAGGAGGCCCTCCACATGGGACCTGCGCTCCTCCAGAAGGCGCCTTAGAAGCTGTTTGGGGTCAGAGAAGGCAGAAGGTGATGCCAAGCTCCCCTCAGGGACACGCTCCGAGGGGGAGGACAACCGAGTCTGGCACCGCCTTGGGTGCAGCAACACCCTGGCAAAAGAGGCTTGCCTGCTCCACTCCGAGGGCCAGGAGGAACTTTTCCATTTCATAAGAACCCAGATCAGTCCAAAGAAGACCCATCAAGCCAATTTTGCTTTGTTTCCAACAGCCCTTCTCCATGGCCTGGTATTTAGGGGTAGACTGCCTCTGAACAGGAAGTTCCACCTGGCTTCCATGGGAAAGGCTGGTTTCGAGAAGAGATTCAGGGGCACCAGGGTGGTCTCTTTGGGGAAGAGGTTCTTGGCGTCAGGAGCAGCGAGGAATAAAAGGCAGCAAGTGGAAAGTGGACGGAGAGACGTTTCTCTCCCTCTTGTGTAATACTTGACCTCAACGGGGTCACCCAGTGCAGCTGAATAGTGGGGAATTCAGGACAGACAAAAGAAAGTCCTCCTTCACCCTCCGCACAGTCAAATGACCGAATCTGCTCCTTCAAGGTCCAGTGATGACCAGCAACTCCGGAGGGCATGAGGGGGCCTCAGTGGCTGACCCTGTGTCCCTTCTGGCATCCCTCTTCAGAGAACAGGGTTCCCCCCAACACTTACTTAATTCTGTCAATTATTTTGTGTTACAGCCCTTGTGCTTTACAGTTAGCTCTTCCAACACTTTTAAGTAACAACTAATCATTAAATTGTACGTTCTAACCTCTCCAGCTTTATGACATAAGAAAAGTAGACCCCTCTCTCTGAGCTTTGCTTCCTGCAGTGAGAATGCAGAGGGCAAGAGGGGTGCAGAGCCCCCCAGAAGACTTTGACCGTGGGACCCCCTCCTCCTCCTTACAAGGCAGGCAGCGGCAGAACCCAAACTGGGCACAGGGACTGGGCAGCTCAGAGGCTGGTAATCCCATGCTGCCAAGTGTGGCTGCTCCCAAGATGGCCAAGTCAGATGTGGGAAGATGATGCCTATCTCTCTGGAAGTGCCCAGGGGGCGGAGAGAGACTCCCAGGCCAGGCCAAGCCAGCCATGCCCCCTCCTCCCCAAACGCAGGGGAACGAGCTTCTACTTGCGCTGTTCATTTAAAGGAGAGAGCCAAAGGTTCCTCTGGGGTGGGGTTTACTTTCTATTCTCCTTCCACAGCCCCAGAGGAAGCGCTGAGGCCAACTTACAAAAGCGCCCTGCTTTTCACAGAGTCATAGAAGTGTGATGTAGGAAGCCCCCCCCCCCAAGGGTCCTCTATGCCAACCCCCAGCAATGCAGGGATCCTGGCTAAAATGGTTACCCCAATGCCATCATAGCCACGATCCCCACCTTCACTTGCCACAGATTCACGTCCATAAAGGCATCTAGAGGCATCTAATCCACAAAGCACCACATCACATGCACACCCCCCCAAAACAATGCAGGGAACCCCCTAATAAACATCACACCTTGCAGAAATGTCAGATTTAAGGGGTCAAACTGCCATAACCCCCAATGTCAAAATCGGTGCACCACAGCGCCCCCTCATGGCCAGGCTTGGGAAAGAGCAGGTAATATCACTTGTTTTATGAGTGGGACTGTCGGCTGGCAAATGTAACAACTTGCACAGCAGCATCAACTGACCCTGTTTTGCTAAGAAAATGAAATGCATTGTAAAAAGATTTGTAAGTGATTCATTCTGTTAAATAAACTTGCTAAATCTCACACTGCTGCCATAATCCCCGGAGAGTGAGATGGTTTAGGCAGGGACTCCACCCAGGAAGTGTCAAACAGGGTTTCTTCAAGACAATAACTGTCTCAGTCACAGAAACTGATAAGCTCCCTTGTGATGTTTGCCAGGCTGCCTGGTGAATAGGAGGTGTCCCTTCTGCCAGTCTCCCAAACTGCTACTGGACTGGAACTTGCCAAAACTGAAATGTCAAGGCCAAGTGTGAATTCTCACGCAGAATGTGTGAGACCAGCAATTCACAAAACGCCTCGGTGGACATGGTGTAATTTTGACCTGTTTGACCAGTTGTAACTCCTCCTAATTTTGTGATGCACCTTTGATGTTTTGTCCATGATCCACTGGCATCTTAGGGGTGGGGTTTCTCTCTGCTGGGTGGGAAATGGCACAGCACCCTTTTGTGAGGGGTGTGTGTGCTCCTTTCTTTGCTGTAAGAGAGGTTGAATATCTGTCCCGACAAATGAACTATCAAAGGCACAAGACCTGCTTTGCTTTCGCTTTTTGCCTGCTTCTCTTCTCTCTCTTTTTCGTGCACTGACAGGGGAACCGAGCATCCAGCAAAGCCCTGGCTTTCCCTGGGGTTTCACAACAGAATCAGAGCAAGTGGCAACCAGGTTTTCTTCGTTTTGAAATAAAAAAATTAAGGTCTTAAGTATATAATAAAGCTTCATAAATGTACCAAGCAAAAACGTACATAAATATATAAACCACATGTCTGAAGCAGCACAGGAAAACAGCCATGAAGCCATTTTGACTCCCAAACTGACCAGGTGTTTTCTCTGCAAAGTCAAATGGAAAAGCCTCCCCATTGTCTTTTCCTTCACAAATCCTGCCTTAAGGGTATGTCTGTGTATGAATAGGGTGAGCCTGTGACCTGGCTCAAGAACTAAGTATTTATCATTACAAAAGACTGGCCAGGCTCCCCAGGGTATCCAATCAAGTGAGCATTAAGAGGTGGAAAACAATGCACTCAGATTTCTGTTGTAGACCACCCCTTTCTGTGATGTAGGTATGATGTTATGGAGGGGTGGTCTGGAGCTCCAGGGCAGAGAACTTAAAATGTCTCTATAAGGGCTTGCTCACCATTGCTCAGGGTTCTTCTCCCTCCTGCGTGTGGTGAGGACCCTGTTGCAACAGTTCAATAAAGATCAGGCTTACAAGCTGCTTTGCTTCTCAATATTCTCTGCTTGGCCTCTGTTCTTTTCTCTGACGGATGGGGAACCTACAAAGGACTCTATAAGGGCTCTTGTGTCCCCCATAAGGGAATAAGGGCAGATTTCCGTTTATTAGTTTCCAGGCCCTTTATCATCTTGGGAACCCTCCTCTGCTCCCCAAGGCCTGGCACCCCAAGGTGTGACGACACCCCCACGCTCACCTTCTGCTCCTGCAGCTGCGCCTTCACCACTTTGGCTTCGGAGGAAGGGGGCTTCTGGTTGGCCATGAGCTCCTCCATGTCGCTGACCCAAGAGAGAAGCTTCCTCAGAGTCACCTGGGCCTGCTCTGCGCCCCACACCTCTCCTAGGAAGGCAGCAGCTGCCTGGGGGAGGAAGGAGGGGGAGCTCAGAGTGAGGCCAGCAGCAGCTCTGTGTGGGGGAGCCCCAGTCCCACAGCAAAAGCCTCCTGGCACCTGGTGGGAGCATGGAGGTGGGGAGGCAGACTTGCATGACCCCAGCCCCACCTCCTCCTCCTCCAGCCCCCTACCCTGCCCTAGAGCATGACTGAGCAGGCTCTGCCTCCCTGCCCCGGCCCTTACCTTGCTGCTGGGGCTGCTCCACGGCTCCAGGGGGTCCCCCTGGCCAGCAGGCCAGCTCTGGCTGTTCTGGAGCTGCGGGAGAAAGGCAGGCACAGGGCAGAGGCTTTGCACCCTCAGACTCAGGAGGGAGGGAGGGGGCCTGCAGCACCTGCCCACTAATGCGCATGGGCACACACACACACAGGCCAGCACTCCCAGGAGGGCTCAGCTTCAGGGGAACCAGCACCAGCACGTTTGCATGGGGGGAGGGTGGTGTCTCCCTCCACAGGAACTGCCTTGGCTGTCTGGCTCAGAGGGTGGCCTTCTGGATACGCAGGGAAGGAGAAATGCGTGGCGCTGGGGTGGCTCTGCTGGGGCCCTGCATGCGGAGGTGGATCCAGCCGCCTTCCTGCTGATACAACAGACTGTCTCCCAGAGCCCCCACCCACCCAATGCTGCCCCCAGGCCAGGCACCCCAGGCAGCTTCTGACAACCTGAGCCTCCTCACCAAGAGCTTGGGAGACAGCCCCAAACTGCATGCGCCTGGGAGGGGTGTGGAGCAGAAGAAGAGGGTGGGCAGCATGGATGCTGCCGTCAGCTGGCCTCGCTGCAGGCACCAACATATTGGGCAGCAGAGCGACCGGCTCCAACTTACCCCCACGCTGAGCCAGCCGCTCATTTTCCACATTGGTAAAAAAACAGCTGTAGATACATGATCTTATCTCTGTTATCCACAAAACCACCTTGTAAGGCGGACCAGCCTCATTCTATGAACGTAAGAACCAAAGTGGAATCTGCAGGATCAGGCCCCATCTAGCCCAGCATCCTGTTCTTACAGTGGCCAACCAGATGCCCCGATGGGAAGCCAGCTAGTGGGATCTGAGTGCGAGAGACCTCGCCCCTCCTGCAGTCTCCAGCAACAGGGATTCGGTAGCACTGGCGCCTCTCTGTGTGTCACAGGTGCCCCCCCAATTCCTCCCGGGGCCAAAGTGGGATCCAGACTAGGGGCCTCCCAGTTTCCAGCCCACTTTCCCAGCCCCCCCCCCCGCAGTGCCAAGACGTGGAGCAGCAAAGGGAGTGAAAGCAATGCATGTGTACGTGGGGAGGAATGGGGGCGTCCTGGGCTCCCCCCGCCCCATCTATTAACCTCTGGCAGGGCTCCTCCTGCGCACTCCGTGAGCACCTTGACCCGCCTGGTGACGGTGGGCTCTTTGCTCCGGTCGCCCCCGGGATACTCGGTCACCTCCACAATCTCAGTCACAACAGTCTCGGTCACCTCCGTCACCTCCGTCACCTCAGTGGTGGTGAGGGGCTTCCAGACCCAGCCGCTCCCGTGCGCCAGCCCCCGGGGGGGACTCCAGGCAGCCCCCGCCACCGCCGCCTCCAGCTGGGCCTTGAGGGGGTTGCTGCAGCTGAGGGCCCCCCCGTTCTGCACCTTGACGTCCATGTTGTTCTGCTTGGGGAGGGGGCTGCCCTGCTGGCTCTTGCTGGGCCCCCCCAGCGTCGCCACGCTCCAGCCATTCTCGATCACCCGGGGGCTGAGTGGAGGCTTCTCTGGGGGGGCCCCGGGGCCCCCTGCGTTGTTCCTTCTGGAGGGGCGCCCGGACGCCAGGCCCAGGTCCTTGAGGTAGGAGTCCTTCAGGAAGTCGTCCGGCTTCTGGCTTTTCTCCCCCAGGCAGCTGGGTCTGCCCCCCGCGTTGCCCATGGCTGGTGGCTGAGGAGACAGTGCTCAGAGCCCTGCCTGAAACAGAGGAGGAGGAGGAGCAGGAGTAGGAGAAGCCACCTTGCCTGCCCGCGAGCGAGTGGGAGGCCCAGGATGGCACCCACAGCAGGCACCATGCCCATCATTGGGGGTTCCTTTTTCAGTCCACAGAGCCACCCAGAAAGTCTTCCAGAAGCTTCTTTCTCAGTGCTGCTCAATCTGTTGGTGAATTCCCATAAGCCCCTCACTCACTCCAGTTCTCCTTCAAGAATTAACATTACAACTTATCCAACTACAGGTCTAAGGAAATTAAAGAAAAACTATGAGGTTCATTCCTCCTCTCTGCTCTCCAGCCATCTGGGCAGAGTAATGGCCAGACACATCATCTCTTTCACAGCCTGTCTAATAAAGTAGTCTGTTGCTAAGGAAACTCTGTTGCTAGGGGGGGGAGTTGTTGCTATGGGCAAAAGTAGGCAAGCATCATTTCAAGTCTATCTTTGGACCCCCTCAAGACCCAGACCAGAAGTCCAAGCCCAGCAGGACCTCTGAAACCGAACGGAACTGGGGACCATAGCCAGACCTCTCCCATAGGATCAAATCCCACCAGAGGATTTTGGAAATACTCGCTTCAAACATTGTCGGGTTTGAACTAGAGGACCCTTTGGGTCCCTCACTTCCAACTCTTCAGTTCTGTGATTCCACTACATTTACACCCGAACTTTCCTCCAAAGGAGCCCAGGGCATCAAACGTGCAAGTGCTGCAATACCACAAACAGAAATCGCCTCCCTAATCTCTGGGAACCAGGAAACACTTGACGGGATTAAGCGCTTATGTATTTGGATGAGCCCAGCCAGAAATTAAACCCAGCATTTAGGAGGAGCCCAGAAGGTGTCAGCCACTCCTGGACTTGCTGGGGAAGAGGAACATGGTTCTTGCTGGCAGGGAGGCTCACGGAAGGGGGCTCCCACCTGGTGAGGGTCTCACGGAAGGGGGCTTCCACCCAGGGGGGCTGCACCCATCCCGCCTGCAGCCCTCCTGGCTCTAGGGAGGCTTGGAGGCAGAGCCTGAAGGGTGTTTGCCTAAAGCACCCAAGGGTGACTGGGGCTGAAACTCAGTCGCTCATATGGCCTGGGGTGGCAGGGAAGGAAGCTGGCGATGGAGGAGCTGCTCCAGGCAGCCGAGCTCTTAGGGGGGCACTCAGCATCTCCTCTGTGGCACAGACCTCCCCAGAGCCAGGGCTCCATCCCAGCGTCCCGATGCAAATGAGGGGGAAGCCAGCGAGACAGACGGACCAGCAGCTGCTGCTAACGGCCGCCTCCTTGCCGGGACCCTGCGCTTAAACCTGGGCAAGCCCAGCGGAAGGAGAAGCCATCTGTCCGCAGAGCCCCCCTGACAAAAGCCTCTAGAGGGGGCGGTCCAGGGACAAGCAGGGCGTCCGGGGAGCCATCCATCAAGCGGCCCCAGACAGGTGGCTGCCCACAGCCCACCCATCACCCCCTGCCTGACAAGGCCATGCTGGCCAGGGGGAGAGAGCGTCCTTGGCAGAGGCACCACCTGGGGCCACCAGTCGCACAGACACACCCCGGCCACCTGCCATTGGAGGAGCCTCAGAATGATGGCAGAGCAGCCCCCCCCCCGCCATGCCACTGACGGGACCCCCTCTACCTGCTTGCTCCACTGGGGGAAAGGGGAGCAGAGGGGCAGGGGGCAGCCAAGCCTGCTCTTCTGCTGAGCCCACCCGCCAGGTGCCACCTCTGCCCTCCACCTCAAAGACCCTGCTTCCATTTGGCCTCTTCCTGGTCTGGGCCCCAACTTTCGTCGTGGGGAGGGGCAAGAAGGGATGAGGCTGCCCCGCGGGGCTGGCGTGGTTACCTTCATGGCGTGGCACGGAAGCTCCCCACAAGGCTGGCGGCAGGTTTGCCACGCGGTCGGTGGCGGGCCAAGGGCACGGCGTCTGCCTCCGCTTCTGCCTTCAGGGGCTCCTCGGCCGCTGCCCCCAGGACGGACGGAGAGGAGCCGTCGGAAGCCCCCGGCAGTGGGGGGACTTGGGCTGAAGTTCCATCGGGAGAGGAGGGCCGGTGCTGCCGGTGTGTCTGGCCCAGGGTCCGGCGTGTCGTGCAGGGAGGAGGCCTTCGCTGGAGCAGCTTGGTGGCGGGCGCCCGGCGGCAGCGTGGAGCCCCCAATGCCCCCTCTCCCAGGGCTCTCCTGGTAGCTGTCAGTCCAGGCCGGAGAAGAAGGATGGATGGAGGGATTGCAGGGTGGATGGGGGGGGAGGCCCTCCCAAGGAGAACTGGCACACGAGGAGGGAGAAGAAGGCGGCACCTCCCAGGAAGGCCCGTGGATCTGGGCCCAGAAGAGCCCCACCAGCAGAGGCAGGCTGCCCTGGGGAAATGGAGGCGAGCCCCTCTGGCTGCCTGGCTGCTGCAGAGACCCTCCCTCGCTGCCCCCCACCCTCTGCCCCGCTGACCCCCTCAGCACACTCAGGCTAATACAATAAGCCCTCTCGCATTAACTCTTTGCTCGCTGCAAGACAATCGCCGCCGTTACTGGGGAAACGCAACAGGGCTCCCAACTATCCCGGAGCCGGTGGGGGAGGGGGCAGGCGCCTTTGCCACGGAGGAGGAGGAGGAGGAGAGAGGAGCTTTTCCCAGAGGAACAGCCCCCCACCAGCAGGACCCCTTCCCCCCCCTCACTCGGGTCCAGCCAGTGTCGCCATCGCAGCCCCAAGAGCCCAGGGGCCCTGGGCAGCTGGTCCTCCGGGGGGCCGGCCTGGGACCCCTCCTGGCTTGTGGGCCTGAGGCTTGATGCTTAATTCAAGGGCAAGTCGGGCAAAGTTGGGGGAAGAGAAAGAAGGAAGCCCCTCCGTCCTCCAAAATGAGCCCCCTACACCTCAGTGGGCTGACTCTGGAGCCCACAAGTGAAAGAGAAACTCTGTGTGAACAGAAGGGGGGGGTCAAACCCTCTGCAGAGCAGGAGGAAAGGGAGAGGTTGCTTCCGAGCTGGGGGGGGGGGTTTGGACCGATCTTCCCCGCGGTGCAGGTGGCACAAAGCTCTGCTTCTGCCCTGGCTGCCAATGCCCCCCCCCAGCTTGGAACCCACTGTGGGGTGGAGGGAAGCCCCACTTTCCCCTTCCTGGTTGCCCCCCAGAGCCACAGGGAGGGAGGGTGGGTGCAGCTGGGGCTGGCATCCTCACCTGGCATGCATGGGTAGGCAGCTGCCAGGCTCCTAGCGCTCTCATGGGGCCCACGGCTGGCACCTGCCCTGGGCCAGCTTTCCGTGTCCTCTGTGGCACAGGGGCGGCTGGCATTCCCATTCCCCACAAGGCTCTTGAGTGCCACTACTTTTGTGCGGGAAATTGAGATGGCAGGACCGCTGCCCGCTCTGCCAGCTTCTCTGAGGGCTGTGCCATGGCTGCTGCTGCTGCCCACCCCCACCAGAGTCTGCCAGGGCCATGGCAGCAGGGAGGTCCACTGGCGGGCATGATGCCCCTTGGCCACCCACGGAAGGGGCTGCGTGTGGTGCCCAGAGCCAGGGGAAGCTGAGGAGCAGGGATGCTGCTCCAAAGGAGCGTCGTTGGGTCTTGGGGGTCTCTGCACAGACTCTCAGGCGCCCATGGCACAAGTCCCATCGTGCCCAGAGGGTAAAGAACGAGCGCACACTTTCACGGAAACGGGTCACCCTGCAAAGCAACAACCAGGCTGACGGGCCCTGGTTCTGTCTCTCTCCACAGTGCCCCCCTCCACAAGCTTGGTCTGGAATCCCCCCTCCCACCGCAATCAATAAATCAGTAAAATGCCCCAAACAGGAGCCTCATTCGAGACTCCGCCAGACCTTTTAAAAACTGGTCCAGAGCCCCCCCCTCTCCAGGCTGACCTGGTGCCCCCTTGTGGCGCATCTGGGATGATTTGTGCTCAGGAGGGCAAGCTCTGTGTCCTGGGATGGTTTGGCTTCTGCTGCGCGGCAGGGCAAGAGCGCCCCCTCCAGGCAGCAACGAGGAGAAGCAGCACAGCGCGACTCACAGCCTGGAAGGTCCGTTTGAGCCGCTGCTTCCATGAAATGCTGCAAAATGCCCTTGCAAAAAGACAGCCGCCTGGAGGGGCCACAGCAGCAACTGCAAAGGAGCTCAGTGCTGGGGGAACCCAGCCAGGTGGGAGGGGTACAAATAATAGATGAGGGTGACGATGATGATGATGATGTCCTGGAACTCTGTGCCGCTCAGATGACTGATTCTGATCAAGGTAACATCTCCAAGGACACCTCCCCCCCCCCTTGCCAGGGAAGAAAGGGCCTCTTGCTAGTCCTGCAGATAAAACCACAAGACAGGAGCAGCGCCCCTCTAAAAAAACGTTGCTCAAAGTGCCCACAGAGCAGCAGAGAGGAGTCAGTCTAGTTGTGGCTAGGGCAACCCATTCAGATGCGTGGAGTACAAGTAATAGAGGAGTAGCAGTAGTGGTAGTAACAACAGACTCCTTCATTGGAGGTTTTAAAGCAGGGGTTGGCTGGCCACCTGTCCTGGATCCTTTAATTGAGATTCCTGCATTGCAGGGGGTGGCTGGCCACCTGTCCTGGATCCTTTGGTTGAGATTCCTGCATTGCAGGGGTTGGCTGGCCACCTGTCCTGGATCCTTTAATTGAGATTCCTGCATTGCAGGGGTTGGCTGGCCACCTGTCCTGGATCCTTTGGTTGAGATTCCTGCATTGCAGGGGGTGGCTGGGTACTCTACAATTCTATGATATTATTATCATAAAGGCCCTGCCTCTGAGTGTGTGCAGAGTGCATGGCCCTGCGTGGTTCAGCTGGTGAGAGCCTGGTGCTGAGAATGCCAAGGTTGCCGGTTCGATCCCCAGAAGGGACAGCTGCATATTCCTGCCTCGCAGGTGCGGGACCAGATGAGCCTCAGCTCTGGGTGGTTCTATGATTCTCTTTCCCCCTTGCAAGGGGGTCTGGCTGAGGGGTCTGGGGGTGCTGTGGGATGAGCTGAGGGTGGCCCTGCTCTCCCTGCTTGGTCACACACACACGCACCCGCCAGCCGGACCCCTCCTCTTTGGCGGAGAGGAGCCCCCAGCCCAGCCCCTCTGGCCGCAGCCTGGCGCAGCCTCAGATCCTGGGAGCCGGGCGGTGGGCTCTCTCCGAGCCCCCCTTTGTCCGGCATGAATGAGCCTTTCAGTTTGTGCCGTCAGGGGTGCGGAGGGAGACCATGTGCCCAGCAGGAGCAGAACAAAAGGCAGTGGGGGGGGGACCCTTTCAGCAGCCTGGCAGCGGCTCAAGACGGAGGGCCTGGGCCTGCTTGGGCGGGGGGGGGTGCGCACGCATGTGCACCGCCACACACACCCGTTAACCCCTTGTACGCTGCGCTGCTGCCCACACGGGGATACAAAGGGGGAGGCCAAAGGAAGGGGGAGGCACCTCCCGCCCCCCCCCCAAGCTGCCTGTGTGTTGCTGAGGCCTCTTTGCAAGGCTGAGGTGAGCCAGGCTGCGTAAGGAAGGGCCTACAAGCGCCAGAGGGCATCATGTGCCACACACCAATTGGAAACACAGGCCAGGTCACAGAGCAAACCCCAGAACGACATGAGCGCCACTCGGTAAAACACTGGGGGCACAAAGTGACACAGGGGCAGGTTCTCCCCCTGCCCAAAAAATCCTACACTTGCCATCCTCAGACACCTTGAGTTGCACAGGGATGTGGACCACCAGGGCTGTGCCCTCCAGGGCTGGCACTTTCACCATGTTGGGCAGGACGAGGTGAGTCAGCCACGATCCAGCTCATTCCTGGCTTCAAAATGCACTCTGTCCTTGCAGAAGGCAGGGGGGGCACCCAGTGGGGGGAGCGCTCATCGAGGAGATTCAGCATCTGGTTGGTCCCTGTGAGAACAGGAGGCTGGACTAGGGGGACCCCTGGCCGGATCCTGCAGGCTCTTCTTAGGCATGTGAAACTTAAGTGCTGGTGGTTCAGGTTTTCCAAATTTCCTTCTTTCCATGCAAGCTGGTATCTTGCCAAGAATGCAGAAGAGCAGGAATCTTTTGCAAGGTACTTTGCTGTGATCGGACATCCTATGCACTTTTAAAATGGAGGGGGCTGCAGGGGGCGGTTATTGGGTTGTTGTTTTTATTTTGATTATGTAGTTTGTGGTTTTATATTTTGATTTTTATTCTGTGAACCGCCCTGAGACCTCCATGGAAAAGGGAGGTATATAAATTATAATTATAATAATAATATGATCAAGCAAGCTCAGCTCCTGGGAAGCTCAGCTCACCCAAACCAGAAAGCCTCCATAAAGCCGGAGCTGGTGCTGACCGGGGCAACCTGGAAGCTGTTGCCTCAAGATGAAGAGCCTGTTCTGGTGGGGCTGAGAAGCCCTGTCGTGCCCCCCCCCATCCCCATTACCTCTGTGGCAGAGTCCCGCTCAGGGAGGCCCGGCAGCCTCTTCTCCAGGGCATCCAGCCAGTGGCACAGGGAGAGCAGCTGCTCCCGCATGTCTGGGCTGCGCTCCTTCCAGTCGCCCCTCGGCCAGGCCCTGGGAGCAGAAGCAGAGTCAGACCCCACCATGGCAAGGAGGCTGCCTCACCTTCTGCCCAGTGCCCAGTGGCCATGGAGGGCACTTGCAGCTGGGCCAACGCAAGGGCTTCCTCTTCACCTCCTCCTCAATGCTCCATGGGACATCGTGGGCAAGGCACGTAGCCCCCACCTCTGAGCAAGGGGCCAAGCTCAGCTTTGGGATATTCTGGCTGGCAGGAAAAGGCTGGGCAGTGTCCCACATGCCACCCAGCACTCCGGCTGTGCCAAGCAGCCCCCTGGCCAAAAATATATATTGATATGGTGCTTCTATCCCTTTGTGCCCCACCTTTGACATGCCTCCTCAAGGAGGCCACTGGCTGAGTCCATGTCCCTGAAGCCTCCCTCCAGACAGGCGAGCAGCGAGAACGACGCCACTTCATTTATTCTCCTAAAGCGCCAGCCTGCTCACCCAGGAGTGTCTCCCTTAATGAAAGTGTTTTTGGCTGTCTCAGGGGCTGTGTCCTCCCCTAAGCCTCAGGCGGATCCCAGGGAAAGCAAGTGGATCTTGCAGGGATGGGAGGAGCCGTGCTGCTTGCTGGGTCATGGCCCATGTGGGGATCCAATGCTGGATGATTCAGGACAGAGAAAAGGAAGTACTTTTTCACACAGTGCAGAATTAACCTGTGGAACTCCTTTCCACAGTGGAGGCAGTGATGGCCACCAACCTGGATGGCTTTGAAAGAGGATGAGCAAATTCATGGAGGAGGAGGGGGCAGTTGATGGCTCCTAGCTTACCAGCCCTGGTGGCTCTGCTCTGCTTCCACAGCTGCTGAACGGGGCTCTTGTGCTGGGATGCTGCTTGCAAGCTTCCCTTTGGGGCAACTGCATGGCCACTGGGAGAACAGGAGGCTGGCCTAGATGGGCCATTGGCCGGATCCTGCAGACTGGCTCTTC